GAACATAAAAATTTTGCTTAAACCAATAGTAACTCAACTTTGTATTCTTTATTAAATTACATCAAGACAATACTTCTGATAAAACTGTTCAGCTTAAAGTATGCCTTACAGCGTAGAATGATATTAGTCGAATATCCACTCGAAAGCAAAGCTATTTCACTAACTATTTTTTCATAATTCAAGACTACTCAGTAGTATCCACCCATTTATTTTATATAAAATTGAACCGAGGTTCTTCGAAATACCCTGAAGAACGTATGCTCTTTGGTCTTACAGTCGAAATCCAGTAGTTAGTCATTTAGTGATTTTGCAAAACCACCGTCCAATCACACGTACTTCACCCTTAATAAAGTCGGATTCCACTGTCCGTGTCCAACCCTGTGGATCTAAGGGAACCTTCAAATCTGATCAGCAGTTAGCCAGCTTAATTATTAAGATAGGAGAATTAATGAAATGTATCATTGATTTCATACCATTAAAGCTTTATTTAGATATGAATGGAGATTTCTTCTGTTAAATACCCAGGATTTAACGTCAGAACACTGACAACCATTAAAAAATAATACACCATTTAAGGAGACTTGATGATCTTCAGTTTCATCCCGTATAGAATCATGCGATTACAGTGCGAGGATGTTTCAAGAATAAATGAATTAGCTATTCAGTTCTTCATGGTTTTGAATGTTTCTTTAGTCGATGTTAGTTCATAATGAAAATTAGGTTCAACATGAATAATCAATACAGACTCGTTATCTTAACAAGTAAATATTGTATTTGTCTAGTCAGAACAAACATATGAACAGAGATATATGAAAAAGAGATTAATCATTTTGTATTGTTTGCTATCATATTACTGAAATTAATAACAAGACTATTGGCAATAATAATGATAATCATTTATTCAGCAAATAAACCGGTTCTTTTACGATTAAATGATTCAATAATTACATATACTGGATGATTATTGGTTTGAAACATACAGCTACTAGTCATTCTAGACTGACTTAACATAAATATTTAATTTAAAACCACTCATATACAGTTTAATTTGGATACAGAAGGCTTGTCTAGCTTTCACTAACTTGCATTATTTATGGCGTAGGCGAGATATCCGTCTAGCAATCAAGGGACGGGTTTACTGTGCAACAGTTTGTTCCGTCCTACTTTATGGCATTGAAACATGGCCGATAAGAGTTGAGGATATTCGTAGACTGCTAGTATTCGATCATAGATGTATATATATATATATATATATATATCCTGGGACCACCGGGTAAGTAATGCAGTTGCTAGGAAACGGGTACTAGGTAAGGATGGCAAATCGATTGATGAAGTAGTGAAACTTCATCAGTTGAGATGGCTAGGACATGCGTTACGTATACTCAACCACCGACTGCCCCGACATGAAATGTTTTATGGTGTAGGAGTAGGTTGGAAGAAAGCTAGGGGCTGTCAGACCAAAACGTGGCACAAATCCATGAAGTCACTGACAATTGGACTGAGCCATGTTGGTAGGTGTAGATTACCTGGTTGGAATTTGGGAGATGATAGAGATCGATGGTTAGAGACCTTGAATGACATGGCTCAAAATCGTTTGCAATGGCGAAGGTGCATCCACTCTTTGTGTTCTCCCAAATTCTAATCTTCTGAATTTTCATGTCTCTATCTTTTGTCTTCTTTCAAATTTATTTCACGTGATTATACTTCTTCAAAAACATTTTCAAACACTAATCTCTCACAATAATGCTTATACTCTTAATACTTCTACCACTATAGGATTTAAATCCACAACTGCATCTCTGTGCTAATGTGGTATGGCAACTCGAACTGATCTACGTAATTTGGATTGTATTCAGAAACATTGGTATCATAGTAAGAATGTTAAAGTTTCAATCGTTTGGTCACATATTCATGGACTACTAAAATTAATTAATTCAGCATAACAACATAGTTAGACGTTACATTAAAAGTGTTACTCAAAACTGAGTACAAGAATTGGTAATTCATGCCAATATACATTATCTAATTAACACTATGATTAGTTTTATAAACATTCCATTGAAAACGCAATGAAATATGAATATTTCTCTGTTAATAAATCTTAAACAAACATTGAGTAGCAGAGATGGATAGTGGCTAGAAGTGGAATCCAGGACGCTCGTTTCGTTTTATTTGGGACTCGTCAGCTGGATGTACCTGCATCTCAGAGTTGATGTTCACTCTGGGACTCGAACATTGAGTAGGTAGGAACACAGTCATTTCTTAGTGATACTACAAAATATTAAAAATATTTACTCATTGTATAACAGATATACAAATAATAATATAATTTATTTATTCTAATCCACAATCGTCAAGTTTTTTTAATTACGGATCGACATCACGTGGGTAGTTCGTTAAAACTCAAGGCTACCAGATAGTTGTTACGTCTTAGTTTCAGATTTTGATGGAGTTTTTTTCTCTGAGCTGGATGGTTTGGTCGTGGAGCATTCATCGTCCTTCTGAACGACATCATCAGCACAAACTTTGGGTAGAAGTGAAGTGTTTGAATTTCTCCACATGTAATTCATAGCTTGTCCTGTGCACCTCAATGTCGAATGCTTCTTGTTGACCTGAAATCTGTCATTGTTTATTTCTTTGTTTTGGTTGTATCTCACATTGGTTTGATTTTTGTTCCTATGTTTATTATGCAGAAACAAAACTCCATCAAAATCACCCATCTGAGCTACAAATCTTCTCCACCATCTTGGTTTCAGATTAATTAACAATAACTATCCACCATCCCAAGTGGAATCAAGGTCATGCATGTAAAAGTTTACGCAAAGCAAAATATCTTTAGACTATTGAGTTGAAATATTTTATAGCCCGTGATATTGTTTGACTACTATTGAATCTTGATTAATTTCAGCTCTTGGAAAATTTTAATTTCCAATTGAATAATCTCCACAAATCTTCCTTCCAATGGATAAGTTGTATTTGAATTTACCCCATTTTGAAAAAAATCAGCATAAGTCGATTCCAGTGTTCATAGATGATTAGAAATTCTTGTTAGAATTTATAACATTTAAAAGGTAGAGAAAGGGAGAGAAAAATAGTAAGAGATGGTTTCTTAATTCGAAACAAACTTAACCCGAAGACGGAGAAGAAATCAACCATACTCACCTTTGTTGTATCATATTTGCACTTTCTTCAATATTACACGAAAATGTATGTCATTAGTTGTAAAAGTTTATATCAATCATTTTGTTGACATTCAGAAATTAAGTGGTCAGTTTCTATTACCATACTTGCTTCTTGAACACATACTTTTATACTAATCACATATAGAACTTAGGTATATTCTTTGTCAGTGTCGAGCATTATAAACAAGGATTCCCATTTGTGCTGTATTCTGAAGATTTAAAGAAGTGAATACATGGTTTATCAACTATGAATATAAAATTTATGAGTGTCAAATGAGACAAAGCATGCATCTTGGATCCTACGACTAACCACTGTATCAAAGTCCTTAAGAAACTCATAAAGATTCATTCTTTTTATAAAGTTAGTATTAAAACTTTGATTAAAAGGATAAAATTGATTCGCATCCAAAAATAGACAGATAATTATTCCTGCGAGACCATAATTAAAAATAGCTAATCTTGGATTTAGGCCCTAAATTAATTGTGCGAGGGCTGTGATACTGCACAGGTGCCAAATCCAAAGCAGGAGGTTTTCTTAAGGAGCCACGCCCGGAGCCTTTGACCCAAAGATCTAATCCACAAGGCAGTGGAGCATCGTGAGGAGATGCAGTCCCATGGTAGCCGGTGATCAACGATTGATTCATTCGCCATTTGCTCCTTCAGGATACTGGAGCCCCTGTGCACCATTGGTTTGAAATCAGGGTTTACCAACTCCCCTAGGTGGACTTTCCGTGTCCACCAACCTGGTTAAAGCTCCTGACATTCGCTTTTCGTCCTCTCAATTTCGTAAACAATAGTAATATCACAAGAAAGCAGTGAGTAGGACTTCCCTGACAGAGGCTATATACGCGTGACCGTGTGAGCGAATTTTAAAAGGGAGAGCGAATTCTCCCTATTCTCGGTCGTACCAGGGCACTTAGGGGCTTGAATAGAACAGAGAGAGGGGAATATTTGTTACATCGTAAACCAAAATTCCTAAGAAGTGTAAATTCTAGACTTATCAATAAACCGAACCCAGTATCCTTTTCTTTTTTGTCGATTGTTTTTCACTTCAAATAATTCTTGATCAATAATGATTATTATCCATTACATCTACCAAGCATCTATTCTAATATGCAGGATTGTTTAAAACATCTTCATGTTTGATCACTAAGTGTGTAACATTTTCAAACTTTATTGCTTTTGCATTGTATCGTCTCTAAAGAGGTATCGTTTACAGTATTCTGTTACTAGTCACTATTTAGTACAGGGTTAAGTCATGATTAGACTAATAAAAATTATCATTTAAATCGTGTAAAAACTATTTGAGACTTTATTTGTTTTATGAAAAATGTTAAACTGACAAAATACACCTTTGTCAATAATTGATGATTGTATTTTTCCGAAGTATCTCATAAGCCCAGCGAACTGTAATAGCTTTCATTTTAAAATGAAAACTTTGTTTTGAAACATTTCGTCAATGAAATCAAAGTGACATAATCACTATATTACACTCATGCTGCTGAGGAGTCCCACAACAGGATGAAACGGCCGTCCAGTGATTCCAGGTTTTCCATGGTCGTTCAGCTTCAATGAACTCATGACTTCAACTATAAAATTATTAAAATTTCCACAAAAAAACTTCTAAAAATTCACAAAACATCAATATTGAACATGAAATTTAATTCTCAAGTTTTAATTACTTTAATCTACCGTATTCTATTCTGGTAGGTGGCCTATTCTCCTCATCGAGGGGTTACAGGCGTAAGTAAGTAAGTAAGTAGGTAAGTACCTTATTCTATTCAACTAATTTCCATATTAGAATAGAAAAACAGAACAAAACAAATCAAAAAGTTCATTTTAAACATCTGATCAATGTTATTGTTCTATTAAATCTGTTCATTTGTTCAATATTACATAAACTTAAACATGATAATCAATGTTTAAAATAACAATAACATGATTCTTCACAGTATATATATATATATTCATTATGATAATGAAATAGATAAAATCAATATTGAAAGTATACACTTACATAAGAATAATATGCACATGCATACAAACATACATACATGCACACACATACACATACACGCACACGCATAGAAACATACACAGGATCAAGACTCTTAATATGATCCCTCACTTTACAGTCTTTCAATGTAAACAATTCAAAGAAAAATCTTTTTTTTTTCTTTTCTTATTATATAAGAGAAAAAAATTAATACACCAATAGAAAGAGGAAAATACATCTGAAAATAATAAATAAATAAACCAAAAAATTATTTTTTTTTTATTTTAAAAGAAAAAAAATTAACAGGATGGAAAGGTATTAATTATTTAAATGAAACAATTTGTTCATCTTAATTGTTGTTGTTAAGATATTTCTCCTCCCCCCTTTTCTAAGAAATGAACAAATATTATTGTTTAAAAAATAAAACAAAAAAAACACTGATCAATATGATATTTATGATCTTGTTTAAATAATAAACATTGAAGATTTTTCAAGGTGAAAAATAAAATTTTTTGTTGATTCATTTAAACAAAATTAAAGAAGCAATTGGTAATAACAACAAAAAATAAGAGAAGTATAAAAGAATGAATAGGTTGTGATCAAGTGTACAATATATATTGTAGACATTGGATATATATGATATTGAACGATTAAAATTTGGGATCATTGATCACATACATACACACACACATGCAAACATAAAGGAAATATATATGAAAATGTACACATACATACACATATTTACCAATGAAAAGGAAATTTAAAAAAAAACACTTGAAAATGAAAGACAAACAAGAAATGATTGAAAGATTCAATGTGTTAATTGTTCATTGTTAATGATTAGTTGTTTATTTAAAATGGTATATCATTTACACATATTGAAGCTGAAGATAAACAACAATAAAGGAAAGAAGAAGCAAATTGAAAAGATTTTTCTCTTAAAATAAGAAACAAAACAAAAACAAACAAATTTTTTTATAAAATCAATAAAATAATTAATACTATTCTTTTTGAAGTAATAAAATTTAATCACAAACACCTGGTGTTGTAAATTGTATACCATTTTCAGTTCTATTAGATAATTGAAACCATGCTTCAATACGACGATATGGTGGTCTAAATACAGCTAACCATAATTCACGTCTTTCAGCTTTAGCACCAGCACCTAATGTTAAACCACCAATAAAATCATTACTTGGACCACGATCAAAATCCCATACAGTTATTTCAAGTGTACGACTACCAGCTTCAGATGCATTTAAATCATAGAAAAATGTCTAAATTTAAATAAGAAATAGAAAAATTTAAAAAAATGTTAAAATTAAATAGAATATTTTACACATACTATTGAAGTTTTATTTAGTGAAACTTTCCTTCAAATCATAAATGATTACTTACGCCTGTTACCCCTCGTGGAGGAGCATAGGCCGCACACCAATATTCTCCATCCAACGCTGTCCTAAGCAATCCTTTCCTGTTCTTTCCAGTTGACATTCATTCTTTTCATATCTCCTTCTATTTCCCAGCATAATGTGTTCTTTGGCTTTCCTCTTTTCCTCTCCCTTTCACCATTCCAAGTTAGGGCTTGCTTTGTGATGCAGTTTGGTGATTTCCTTAATGTATATCCGATCCACTTCCAACGTCTTTTCCTAATTTCCTCTTCAGCTGGAAGCTGGTTTGTCCTCTCCCATAAAACGCTGCTGCTGATAGTATCCGGCCAGTGAATGTTGAGTATTTTGTGTACAAAACTGTTTATAAATACTTGTATCTTCTTGACGATGAACGTAGTAGTTCTCCAGGTTTCAGCTCCGTACAGTAGAACTGTCTTGAAGTTCGTATTGAAGATTCTCACTTTGAAGTTAGTTGACAGTTGTTTTGAGTTCCATATGTTCTTCAATTGTAGAAATGCTATCCTTGCTTTGCCAATCCTCGCCTTTACATCTGCATCCGATCCTCCTTGTTTATCAACGATGCTTCCCAGGTACGTCAATGTTTCCACCTCTTCCAGAGTTTCGCCATCAAGTGTGACTAGGTAGATGTCCTCCGTGCTGTATTTGAAAATCTTGCTTTTTTCTTTGTGTATGTTGAAGCCTATTGATGCAGAGGCTGCTGCTACATTAGTTTTCTTCGGCTGCATCAGTTACTGAAATTTTATTCCATGAAATTTTTCTTCAAGTCATAAAGCCTTTCAGATATGAATCGACTAACATGTCTACGTGAACAGTGACATGTCTATTAACTAGAGTCTATAATTTAAACAAAAAAATTACTAGGAATATATCAAAAAGCAAGTTCATTAGCTTTGACGAATCTTTTTGTTAAATAGTTTAACTTAAGAAAATATTTAACTTTTATATTTGAAATCTTTACGATACATATACATTGTATTTTTTAAACAGTACAATACAGTACTCTTACTCTTAACGTTAAATAATTTGATTAATGAAGTGAATTTAATGAGGTTAAATTATAGTATACAACAGACATTAGTTGTGTATTCAACTGAGTCTTGGTTGTTTATTCTCTGAAGAAGTGGCTTACACCGAGTCACGAAACAACAGAAAATCTAATTTTTTTACTCATTGGGATATTACAAATATATTATTTATTTATCTACTGAGTTTTGTTCTGTTACATATAATAACAATTTAGAGTAGTTTCTGTTATCAATAAATTAGTATATTGTCATGACTGAACAACTATTTCACCTTTCAGCTTTAATTATTGATAGTAGTTCAACTTAAACGATGTTAATGGTTCTAAAGTTAATGATTACAATTATTTCCTTCAATTCAGTGATATCTATTTTCAGGTTCTACAATCGTATATCCAAAATAATGATCCAAAATGTTGCCATGTTTAGGGCAAAGTACACAGTTTAAAATCATTGTATGTGCATTTAGGGTTGTGAAATACAACAAAATCAAAATATTAATGTTGAAATGACTAATATGTGACCTTAAATTCTTCACTTCATTTCATTTACGCCTGTTACCCCTCGTAGAGGAAAGAGGGCAACCCACTAGGATTATCTAACGAACCATGTCCTGGGCTCTTCTTTCCAGTTCTTCCCAATGGCTATTCATTATTTTGTCGTCTGCTTTCAATTTACGACTCAATGTGTGCCATGGCCTTCCTCCTTTCCATTTCCGCTCATTATTTAAAGTTAACGCTTTTCTCGTGATGCAGTTTGATGATTTCCTCAATGCGTGTTTATCCACTTACAACGTTTTTTCACAATTTCCTCTCCAGATGGAACCTAGTTTGTCCTCTGACAAAAAAGGTTGTTCCTGATGGTATCCGGTCAACGGACATTAAGTATCATGCGTAGACAATTGCTTATAATACCAGTACATTTCTGATGATGGTTGTAGTAGTTCTCCAGGGTTTGATGCCGTACAGTAGGACTATCAAGATTCTGACTTGATGTTAGTTGACAGTTGTTTTAAGTTTCACATGCTCTTCGATTGTGGGAATATTATCCTTGCTTTACCTACCCATATCCTTAAATCTGCATCAGTTCCTCCTTCTTCATTAATGATCCTCAACAAGTACGTGAACGTTTCCACTTCATCTAGAGTTTCTCCATCAAGTGTTATTGTGTTGATATTCTCCTTGTTTTATTTAAGGATATTTCTTTTTCCTTTGTTTATGTTGTGGCCTACCGCTGTAGAAGCTGCTGATATACTAGTTGTGTTTATCTGAATTTGTTTTCGCGTATGTGGTTTAAGATTTGGATCGTCTGCGAAGTGGAAATCTTGTGGCTGCATGCAATCTGTGTATTGTATTGCGTGCTTCTCCTAAGATGTGGAGGTTTTCATAATCCAGTCAACCACCAAAAGAAAGAGAAAGGGTGAGAGTAATCAGCCTTGTCTGAGACCGGCCTTCACATGGAACATATCTGTTAGCTCTCCTCCTTGCACGACTTTGCAGTGTAGTTCATTATATGAACTCTGTAGGGTATTGACAATTTTCCAAGGTACATCATATTGTCAAAGAAGCTTCCATAAAGCTCTAATATATTAAATGAAATTATGATAATAATGGTCAAAACAAATATGTGCCAGATAGGGTGAGAGAAATAATTCGATCAAGTGTTTAGTGGAAGACTAAATAGTATTTAAAGTTTTATGAAATTGGTAGGAAATAATAAAATGAAGTGAATACTAAGTAGATTATTCATGTGTTCGGTAGATTAATAATGATATCAAGCCAATAATAATGATAATGATACAAAGATAGGTGAATAAAGATAATAAAGGAAATTATATTTGACTGTGAAAGATTGTAAGTACTTTATTCAAATTTGACCAGTCAAATATTAAGATTACTATTGATGAGTCGATCCTAAGGTTGGCCAAGATGAAAGAAGTAGTTGAAGATATTTCTTTCGTACACATAGCTCCGGTTTTTCAATCCAAAAGGCTACTTCTTCTGCCTTTCGGAGGAATTAGTGTCAGATATATGTGGAAAACTGAGTGGAAACGAAATGGAAACTACGATTCCAAATAATGTAAAAGAGTTATTGCGGAAATGTGCCATGAATGTAAACTTCAAGTTTAACTGGGGGGAATCTACAGACAAATGGACAAAATTGCGACGGGCTGGACATTGAGTTCCATACTAGTTTACATTTTTCTAGTTAAGCTAGAAAATGGTCCACTTAATAAGTTTACCTAAAAATCCCCTTTAAATGTCGGACATCATAATCAGAAGTTCTTTGGAAGTTTAATAAAGTAAATCTGGTCATTGTGTTTACATTTGAAGACGAAATTGAAGGTAGAAAAACCTTGTTAGACGTGTTATTAACAAAAAGAGCTGATGGATCAATAAAAAGGAATTTAAACATGGAAAGTACCTAGACGGGGCAGTACACACATTTCCATAACTTCATACTGTACAAAAGAAACCTGATCAAAACTTTTGGTTATCGAATACGCACTATATGTTCTACAGATACAGTTGAAAAAGAGCTAAGTGTCTTGCATAATACAGTAAAGGGAAACTGATACCCCGGAAAGTTTATTTATATATACATATACTATTGATAAAGAAATAAAATAAACTATAGAATCTAACATCCTAATCAGTAATATGGTGAATAACTAGTTAAAAAGTATCACAAGGGGGGTTTGTGAAGATTTTAGTAATTTTATAGTTAAGATCATGAGTCAATTGAAGCTAGACCACCATGGAAAACCTGGAAGTGCTGGACGGCCGTTTCCTCCTATTGTGGGACTCCTCAGCAGTGCGCATCCACTATCCCGCCTCGCGGGATTCGAACTCAGGACCTACTATTCTCCCACCAGAGCACTTAACCGATAGACCACTGAGATGGCCGGCATCCAGCGGTGTTAATGTCTAACCTCAACCGATCCACGAAATTGCGCGACCAACTTCCATTGTACAGGAAGTTCGAATCCCGCAAAGCGGGATATTGGATACTTACTGCTGAGGAGTCTCACAATAGGACGAAACGACAGTCCAGTGCTTCCAGGTTTTCCATGGTGGTCTAGCTTCAATTGACTAATGATCTTAACTATAGTTAACAAGTAGTTTATTAAGTGTAGCTTAACATTAATAAGAATTACTAATTCTTGCTTTGTTAACCATATACCAAAGTTTCATCAACTGATTAATTTAATGTCTAATTAGGTAGGTCATAGAAAGAAAAATATACATAACGACATTGATTAGGGGATAATCTGGAAGAGAACAAGAAGGGGGAAGTAATAACTCAATTGGCAATTTCTACTAAATCTCAGTTTCTTTAACTTTTCCTGCTTTAAATATTTTGTTACTAATGTGAAAGTGAATGATAGAATAAAAGTAAGCTTAAACGTCATTATACATTTGTTTCGATTAGTGATAAGTGCATGAAACCTTCAAAAAACAACCCAACTAAAGATATTTAAGACAGGATTTTACATGAATTTTTTAAATCTATTTATTGAAAAGTCATGAATTCTGAATTCAAAGATTTTAGTAACATGATAGTTATGTACTGACTGATTATTGATCAGTAATCAATGTCGTTTTTAGTCTTTAGTCGTGATCGAGTTATTTCTAAATGATTCAACATCACAAGCAATCTGTTTAGATGGAAAATTATTGTATGTTAGTTGTCAGGACACTTTCGATTTTGTACTAGTTGACACGCAAAAGCAAGAAATGATTAGTCTTGAGATAAATGATATTCTTTGTAAGATTTAAACCTACACCATTCAGTTTCATGGTGAAAAATGGTACTCCTGATCTAATCAAGCCTTAAGGTGATGTCCTGTTAAGATGACATATTTAAATTGAATCATACAGATTCACATCTAACTTGCAGCATCATTTCAATCTATATTGTAGATCTGCTTTACTGATGAGTGCTAAACTTTAGAAAATGTGAGTTTGTAGCCTATTACTGACAGCTGTAAACAATCTTTTACTCGGATAGTTTGTCTAGTTGGCTCTACTCTTCGCTACTTCCTAGTTTTCTGTCGTCTTTCAACTAAAATTTAACAGTTCACGATCACCTGTTGCAGTTAAACCATGCAAAATTTACTTTGTCAATTTTTCCCAAACTTTCATTGTCTACGTATATCCCTTTTCTTTTCAACATTGTGTTACAGATAAATGGATTAAGAAGGAGAAAACGATAAGATTAAGTGAAAATTGATCTTTGTGTTTTGATTTTAAATCGCTGACATGGTAACATGTGATGATAGATTAAGGTATAATTTATTATTGTATATAAATTATAATGATAATTTTAAAAGTATATGTGTGTACATATATATTCAGGGGCCCTAAACTAAGACTTTGGTCTCAGCAAATTAATTCACTTGATATCACTTATGATATCCACTAGTGTTACTTTGGCCTAGTGTTCTTTGGCCTTCCTCTTTTCCGCTTCCCTTCCGGATTCCAAGTTAGGGATTGAGTCGTGATGCACATTGGTGATTTCCTTAATGTATGTCCGATCCACTTCCAACGTCTTTTCCTTATTTCCTCTTCAGCTGGAAGCTGGTCCACTAGTGTTAGTGATTATCAATTTTTAACAAAGCCAATACTCCCATTATATGATAAACATCTACTGACTGTTAAATATACTTTACACTTGCGGCAAGATGACTTATTCTTCTGTATTCTTATCTCTCATTTAACTTCATAAAAATATATCTGATGTACACTGACTATTTCATATGTGGTTGATTTGCATAGCTAAAATGATTAATATCTATTAGGATTTTGAATCATTCGCGTTTTCTGTTTATTAACTCTTTTAGAATGATAAGACGCAGTTACCACATGGAATTTCTGAGACAGTGTCTCGGTAAGATGAAACATGTTTTCTAAATTCTAAAACTAACCATTATCTAACAATACAGTGAATTCGTAACAACCAGTAATAGTGAGTTCTACATTTAAAGAGATCATATGCTAAAAGTTCCAAATATTAAGAACTGTAAAATCTTAACGAATGGTGAACAATATCCCACTATGTTGAGTAGGTTAATGGCCATCGTACCTCGGTAGTCCCGTAACTAACGTTCTCGTAGTTAAATCTACTTGTACTGGATTAAGATCTAAGTGAGAAAATGTACACTTGGATATCAGTACATCTAGCCGATGGGCCCCGAATAAGATGAAATGTGGACCCTGAATTCCCATGGTAGCTAGTGTCTAAAAATGTTGTGTTAGTATTGATAGTTGCTCATATTTATGCTCTTGAGAATAATAAGTCCTACTAGCATTCCTAAAACTCATAAAGTTCCACTTTAATGGAAACAATTGTTTAATATCACTTTTGTGAGATGATAAGAGTGCTACAATAAAATTTATAATCAACACTAAATAACTATGAACTGTCTTCGTTGTTATTCAGTTAAATAGTTTGTCTTGGTTTAACATACAAATTTTTTTAGGCGATTAGTCCTTTTTATAAACTTTGATAGAACAATGAGAAGACAGAGTTGATCTGAAAATTGTGGTGTATTTGAGCTACACATTTAGAACAACGCAATCAAGGGTTATGGAACATATGCCTATATGGCTTCGAAAACCAGTTCATATTCAAATGTTCCGATCAATGTGAGAAGTTGAAAACTATATTCATCAATAGCAAATTACAGAATTGAAACGGGGCAAAGAATTGAAATCAATATGGCTTTCAAACCGTTCTATAGAAATTATCAACAACGAAGTCTCAGGTTTATTGAAGCCTTAGCTATTTGTAAATTTATCCTGGTAATCCTTAAGTCATTTTATGATCTAGGGTAATGTGACAATTTCCTATTCCTTCTATACGATATTAATCTTTTCTCTCTTGTTTGTTATTTTGTTGACCTAAAACTTCATTTAACACACCCTTATTATTTTCATATAAAATGCTTTGATAAGTATATATATATATATACGTGACCAAATTATTCGAAACGTATAGCGTAAATATATATCATATTTTTCGGATCAACGGAATCTTTTCATTGTTCTATCGAAACATATGAAGACTAAAGAATAGCAAGAATTTCATTTTATTGTAAGATATCTTTATAATTCTATATTGAATAAAAAGATATATTCGGTTTTCAACTCTTCGAATTTACTTTCAATCATAATTATCATTTACTCAAGATTAAATAGTTACCAATTTCCAACCAAACAATAATAGATAGTCACAAGGGGGTTTTGTGAAGATTTTAGTAAATTTATATATAATTAAGATCATGAGTCAATTAAAGCTAGATCACCATAGAAAACCTTGAATCACTGGACGACCGTTTCGTTCTATTATAAGTTTCCTTAGCAGTGCGCATACACGATCCCACCTCGCGGGATTTGAACTCAAGACCTACCATTCTCGCACCAGAGCACTTGACCGATAGACCACTGAGCCGGCATCTAACAGTGTTAATGTCTAAACACGAATCCCGCGAGGTGGGATCGTGGATGAACACTGCTGAGGAGTTCCACAATAAGAATAAACGACCGTCCAGTGCTTCCAGGTTTTCCATGGTGGTCTAGCTCCAGTTGGCTCATGATCTTAACTATATAAAAATGATAAATAGTTTTTATAAGGGGAAAAAGATCCTCATTTTGATAACTAACCTCATGAAATTCTGGGAATAAAGTAGCTTTTTTCACTTGAGTTTTCTGTTTCGTTTTCTTAGTTTTATCTGGTCGAAGGTATCTATTTATATAAAAAATAAAGATATATATATCGCATCATTATATATATAAATATATAATCAAATTTCAATTAGCATATATAATCCAATTACTGAATTAGTTACAATTTAATAAATACATAATAAAACCTTAATAAATTATTCAGTGTCAAATGTCTAAAATTATCAATGTTAGTCAAACAAAGTTAAGCATTTCTTGAAAGGATTGAGGGTGTTGAAATCAATCACTGTCAAAGCAGTAAATCTTTACTGTTGAGTAGTGCCGAATTGAGACGAATCCACAAGGTAATTAATTTTGGTTTCTAGTGATTACCTAACTAAAGTCACTCCTAGTTGTTTAGTATGAGTTTTAAATACAAATAGCAGTTTGAATGTCATATATATATATATATATATATATATATATATATATAATCAAATTAATCGATTCATGCAATTTAGGATCTACTGGTATCTGTTAATAAGTGCTGCTGAAATTCAGTTTCATAATGTATAACTGTGTCCCTACAACATATTCATATTGCTGAACGGTACTGGGTTCGAGTCCTAGAGTGAACATCAACTCTGAGATGCATATATATCCGGCTAACGAGGTCCCAAATAGGACGAAACGCACGTCAAACTGGATTCCACTACTAGCCACTATCTGTCTTTGCTTAAAACATATATTATTCAATAAACTATATTGCGATAGATAGTATGACAAATATTTCTGACAGAAAGTAAGACATTCTTTCATCTATTTATTTTCTAGTTATATTATTTTTAAAGACTGTGGAAACAGAAGTGATATTTAACACTAATCAATAAACAATCAATGAAAATATCTCTATCCTACAAAAGGTCAGTCATGGTTTGAACAACTTCGTAACAACATTTTAAACTGGTTGACTTGGCTTTGTACTGGATAGAAAATATTAGTTATCTCAACGTTTCTGACACCGCGAAGCAATGGCCGCATTCATACAGTTGAAGAATATATGGAATCCAAAACAACTCTCAACCAACATCAAAGTCAAAATCGTCAATACGAACGTTAAGATAGTTCTGCTGTACGAAGCTCAATCCCAGAGAACCACCACAAGCATCATCAGAAATGTATTGGTATTATAAGCAGTTGTCTACGCATGATACCCAATATCCGTTGACCAGATACGATCAGCAATAGCCTAATGTGATAGAGAACAAACCAGAATCTAGTTGAAGAGGAAGTCGGGAAAAGACGTTGTAAGTGGATAGAACACTAATTGAGGAAACCATCACAGTGCATCACGAGACAAGCGCTTACTTTGGGGAAGGGAAACGGAAACGATGAAGGCCATGGCTCATACTGAGTCGGGAATCAAAAGTAGACATGAAAAGGATGAATATGAATTGAAAAGAACTGGAAAAGACTGTCCAGAACAAACTTGGATGGAGAATGCTGGTGAGCGAACTATGCTCATTCACGAGGTGTAACAGGGTTAATTACGTAAGTAAGTTGTGACACCCATTTTTGTTTTGTGTCGACTAAAACAGAAACTAAGTCCTGGAATTTATTGCGGATTCGCATCAATCATATGAAGTAAAACATATCAAGCTCAACTAATTATCTTGCTAAAATTCCACCTATAGAAACATAAAATGTTCTGATACTGAACTTCTTAGGCGATATTTTGACGTAAAAAATATTTCTATAAGTGAAATCTAAATTTTCACAAACTTTCTAGATTTCAACTCTCTCTTTGATTAAATAATTAAATATTTCGTGACCATCTATGTCCTCACTTAAATATACGAAATGTCCCTGTATTTCTTATAAACTCGTTATTTCAAAGCAAAAGAAATACATAAAAGAAAAAATATCAGTTAATTATTGAAGATAAGTATATATGATAACAATTTTGTATTATTTTCTTAACTCTGTCTATCATTCATTGTTTGTTTTTTTTTTAAAAAAAAGAAAAAAGAGAAAAGAAAAATAATGACATTAGGTGTTAAACAATTGTATTATTTGCATAGTTGAAAGCATGACTCAATTGAAGCTGGACCGCCATCGAAAACCTGGAAGCACTGAACGGCCATTTCGCGCTATTGTGGGACTCCTCAGCAGTGTGTATCCACGATCCCGCCTCGCGAGCGAGGTTTGAACCCAGGACTTGCCAGTCTTGCGAAAGAGCATTTAAACGATACACCACTGGGCCGGGATCCAACAGTGTTAATGTCTTACATCAACCAATCCATAAAATTGAGCAACTGTTCATCAACGTCCGTCCAGTGCTTTCAGGTTTTCCTTGGTGGTCTAGTTTCAATTAACTCATGCTTTCAACTATGTAAATACTAAATCTCTACAAAAACCCCTTCTGATATTAGTTGTATCATTATTAATACTAATAAATATATATTGTATTCAACGAATAAACAACTAGATAAGTGATATATATATCCATATCTATCTAGAAAGAAGTTAATTGAAAGCTTATATCATATAATAATATCATGTTGTTAATTTTTAATTATATTTTGATTAAAACAAAAAACAAAAAAATAAAAAAATTAAAATTCGGTCATAAACTTAATTTTTTTCAAATTATTACTTTTTTTTCTTTCTTTTGTTTTTCATTATTTTTTTTGTATAAAATCTTAAAATCAATAAAGAATACTTTATTAATCTTTACATTATATTTTACTTACTGATTTGTATTATTATGAATTATTATTATTATTATTATTATTATTAATTTTTTTGTATTTTTAGTTTTTTAAATAAACAAACATTCTTTTAATCATTGAATTTTTGTTCTCTTTTATTTTTTTTTTTAAAAAAATGAAAAAAGAAATTATTCTTTCTCTGTCCCCCCTCTCTCTTTTTCTATGTGTGGATATATCTCCCCCCTTTTCTTTCTTTATTAATATTCAAAATTAAGAATTAGTTTCATTATGTTTAAAGAAAAAAAAGAAAACTGTTTATAAAAAAGCGTCAATGATAAAAACGAATCTTTTTTTTTTTTGAAAAAATTATTTTTTTTAGATTGTTTCATAAAGGATCTTTAGGTCAATTTTGTTTAATTTAAAAAAAGCTTAAGTTGAACATTGAATTTATATACATATTATAGATGGATAGAAATGTATAAATGAGAAGAAATAAATAATGGATACATATACTTAAATTCATTTGCATGCAATTTTAGAAAACCAGCAACAGAGAAAACGTTTTAGGGAGACTAACCAGTTGCAGTCCTAAGCATCAATGGGAAGATTCAAACAAACTATACTAAGTGAATTTAAACTTCACCCCATTTTACAAGCAAGTGGTTATCAGTACTTAGTAGCTGAATGGATAACGCGATGGTTTTTGGAGCGAAAAGTACTGGGTTCGAGTCCCAGAGTGAACATCAACCGTGAGATGCAGGTACATCCAGCTGACGAGTTCCAAATAAGACGAAACGCGCGTCAAACTCGATTCAACTGCTAGTCACTGTCCATCTTTGCTTGGAACATAATTGAGTTTATATATGGTGTCATTTAAATTTATGCTTTTATTGTGTTAGTAATTCAACTGTTATAAACTATTTTATGAGCAGTATCAGTTGAAAAATCTTCATAAACTAGACATTTGATAAATATCTATTTAGAAGACATCTTTCTGGGGAATGATGTCATATAAAGAACTACTGTAAAACAAAAAAAGGTAAATGACTGTTTAATATTAGTTCAAGATTCGTCAGTAGTGTGTGTACATATATTCGTACGGGTTCGAGGTCACAAGGCAAAATATTAGATAAGAAAATTAGAATCACTAGGAAATAGACTTGGGCTAAATTGCCAGAAATGTGAAATTGTGACCAATGAAGTCAACCAGTTTGAAATGAGGTAGTCATTAATCAGTAACATTTAGTGATGTTTGTAATATCCAAGACACATCTGAGTTTATAAATGGTGATCAATAAATTTAAATTCATTAAGTTATTCCTATGGAAATTTGGAAAGCCTCGATTAATATTAAAATTTTGAAGTTATGCATGAAGCTAATGACAATCCACAAACTGGTCTTGTATCCTAGAGATAAAGAGGATAGCCATTTGGAAGAGTTGTTTTATTAAACTCTCACTACTCATTAATATGAGCTTGAAATTTAATTTATAAATAAACTATCTGTAATCTTCAAATAGTAACAAGTTTTGAAGTTTCTAAGTTTATGAAGAAGGACCAAAACTTTTAAAACAGAGAAATTAACTAATGATAACTAACATTTTCAATATGTAACTGACCAACATTACGAGATGTATTATTTCGAACGATATAAATATGATTATTGTCTACTAGGCCACAATATTCCACATACTATTTTCTTATAACTAAAGAATGAAAAGGTTTTCCCTTAAAAGTGCTCACTATTGAAAATTACTCAATTATAAAAAACACCTTAAAACAGTCTGATAGATTTTCGAAGTTAGAAACAGATCTAACATAAATACTTTTGAAAGGCGTTCTTTCATTCACATGAATTATCCATTCATTTCTATTAAACTTCAAGATCCATGTCCTGGAGTTCTAGTGGGAAGCAGTGACCAGTGGAGTTCAACCACGGCTGTTGTGAGATAACAGCTCACTGAAGGCAATTGGTGAAGTGTCGCTCATAATTCGTGGATCAGTTGAAGTTAGACATTAACACCGTTAGATGCCAGCTCAGTGGTCTATCGGTTAAGGGCTCTGGCTCGTAACTGGTAGGTCCTGGGTTCGAATCTCGCGAGAGCGGGTTCGTGGATGCGCACTGCTGAGGAGTCCCATAATAGGACGAAACGGCCGTCCAGTGCTTCCAGGTTTTCGATGGTGGTCTAGCTTCAATTGACTCATGATTTCAACTTTGAAAAATACTGAAATTTCCACAAATCCCCTTCTATTATATAAGTCAATAAATTTCAAAGCATCAAAGAACTTAAATATTATCCTCAACTGGAGAAATTTGGAAAAAAACTCTAAACTGTAGATTCATTTTAATCATCACTTGTCAGTAAGATGTTTTGGGTATCCTCGTGGAATGTAGAAACCATTGTGAGATTAGAACTCTCATTACCTTATGTGAAGGTCAAACAAGATAATACTAAACAAACAAGACAACAATAGCTAATTTATTCTAAAATAATCATAATGCCAGTATAAGTCAATCATTCTCAATGTCTCATCAGCATAGTAAATTTTATATCAAAGTTAGTGGAATTCAAATTCTTCCAAATGGTAGATGTAATAGCTATTCGGATTTGAAAAATGGAGAAATATGTACTTAAGAAATATGTTCAACCCCTTCTCTTACTTTGATCAACCTCTACGCCAATAAGTCATTGATAATCTTAATTTCAGAATGACCTAATTTGATTAATGTACTTCCAAACTCAGCACTTTTATATTCAAAAGGGGATTTGTGGAGATTTCAGTATATTTCAAAGTTGAAATCATGAGTCAATTGAAGCTAGCACTTTTATATTCTTACAAATGTTAAAATAATAATACGAACAATTGTAGATAAAAATAACAATGGGAATAACATTTGAATGAGATTAATTTCGTTGTAAGATCATAATTAATCTTCTTAATATAGAAATAATTTAGTTAGTACTCAACGCATTGCATTATTTTTATAATAAATTCATACACTGTGTAGTCATTCACATTTAATCTGATTTGTAATTACATTATTATTTCTTTGTCACTTTGCTACCTAGATCTAGATACTCATGGTTTCATTTAACATATAAGCTGATTTAAGTTAACATTGTGTATTGGTTATTGCAAGATTAATAATTCTATTTTCCTTTACAAACAGTCCTTAATTCAAGAGCAGAAACAATAGGGACCAACAGTTGAATCAAGAACGTGCGTTACGTCTTATTTGCAACTCGTCAGCCGGATAAAGGTACAGTGTTTTACTGATTGATTTGGTGTTGAATTAGCCTGTAACTACTAACTAACCATTAAGTAGTGGCTAATGTCCAAGAGTTTCTAACAATCTTTTTCAACTACCTGGTAGTAAATACAGTGTAGTCACTTAATTTGGTGATCGAAATTTAAACTTTGATCAATGGTATTCGATCAACACTAGGTTGATAACAATGTGTTATTGATTAATATTTAGTAATTAGTTAGTATCCTACTATTTATGATAAGATTTATGTAAAGTTAATAAAAGTAACAGCTTACAATTTGACAAAAGGATCAGAGAATCCATTAAGATCCATTGGAGCTAGATTAGCACAACGAATTACTTCAACATATAATTGTTTACGATCTTCCAAATAGCCAAGACCTAGTTGTATTTTACCACGTGTTGGGCATGCTAAATCAAATTCACCACGTTGTATCTAGTAAATAAGATAAAACTATATTATCATTATTGTAATAAATTTCGTAAATTAGTTTATTTTACATACAAACAAAAAATGTCCTAATACATTACAGAATAGACTGAATAGAAAGCATCTTACTTGAGTTTCACATTTACTAAGTTTCATCATTAATGAGTATTTGGTACTTGTAAGAACTTAGAAATGTCACTTAGAGTTAAAACCATAGGGTTAATCATATAGATATTGAATGTTTATTGTAATCCCCTTAAACACAAAAGAAATTAAGTTAACTTGATATTAGTCATGTGTTATTTGGTTATAATGTTGAAATATTGTTTCTTTTTCCTGATTAATAGGTACCATGAAACATGTATAACATTGAACTAATTGATAATCAACATCCAACTTTTGTACAAACAGTTGATTGCTCTGTGTGATTTGTTAAAATTACAGTGTATCAATGATGGTACGCTTATAATTAGATTCGTTAAAGTTTGAAAAGATTCAACTTTAGATTTAAACGATATTCATTCCATTCATCAATGAACTTTAAGGGTCTTTAGTTAATAAAAGGCATTTTAGGATTATTATTGACATTTAAAATAAGTCAGTAATGATAGTTTGTTTATTATTGATTAGCTTCAAGATGAATTCTTTAAAATTAGGTCAGATAACTGTAACATGTGAATAGAGAAGGAAATTGAAAATAAAATATGTACTTATTGATGATATTAGTTTAAAGATCGAGTCATATCACAAAGTCAACCATCTAAATTTTTTGTGTTATCTTAGGTTTTGAATCTGATCCATGGGGTAAATTAATAAAGATACAATATTGAGAGGTCTGAAACTTTAAAGAATCAGGTGTTTTAAAGTGATGTCTAGCTTTCAATGATTTTAGAAACTGCCCAACAACATGTCAGCTAATGGTTTGAATTTAGAACATGTTTTTATTTCGTATTATAAACGACACTATGAAATACCACTTAAGTATATATAACTAAGCGTTTCTTACTAATTATCTCTAAGTATATTCTGGCATCACATGTTTTGTTTTATCAAGGTTGAAAATTGTTTCTTCACTTCTATACACTTGATTGATATGGTGAGCATTAGTTGTTACATAACGATTCTTAGTTTTAACTATTCTCGAAGCAATGGCCGAATCTACAGTCACTAGACAGTGATTAATCTTAGTTTCATAGTTCATTTGAAGCTTATCCAGTGGTATATGTTATATGATTCCTATATTTAACAACTAGATATCATAAGGTATTATATTTTTAATCAGAATCAGATTGTGAACAGTCGATAAAGCATAATATGTAACAACCACATGTTCTTTTTCTTTTTTTACCAAATATAGCTGGTTTTTATTAAATACTATTGAAAAGTCTACATCTACTGTATAAGATTCTCAATAGCTTTTTATAGTTCTTAATTTCAACGTCTTGTTGACAAATGATCTGACTCCAATTAGATCGTATGAATGATTGTTGTCAAAATATACATCCTATCTATCCTTGTATGTAATACATGACTTAATACGCGTTGGTGAATAAGGGAGTTAAATAAGTCAAAGACGAGAATGGATTTTTAATACAGGTATTTTGAACACTCATTGATCTGGATAGCAAATCAGAGTGTTGAAGCGAAAATGACAAGCATTGGAGATGGCGGGTAAGGCAACTCACTTTAACCAAGCGTTAATCGATATTTATAGTCAGATAAAAAACAAGTTACAGACTTGTGGTGGATAGTAAAAGAAGTGTACACACACATACGATCATATAAAAACAGTCAGGGTTAATAAGTGAAAAATTAACAAGTACAAAACGTGACTCATGATGGATAGGTAAATTGGTTTGTCCTGAAGCTAGGATAAAGGTATATGGACTTAGCATATCGACCGACACTAGTCTTACGTGTTAAATGTTTGGAGTCAAATGGCTTCTTTCCAATCATGACTCATGGAATGTCAATGCCTCCTTATAATTTATTTCTAACAAAATAATACAAAATACAATATGAATGAAGCAAATAGAAGTTGAGAGTAGTAAGGAGCAATAAATTCCCTACATTCTTTTAATGACCATTATATTAGAATAAAAATGATAAAACTACCGGTTTATGTGGACCAAGTGGAACAGTGAAATCGGTTAAACGATTAGGAATCAGTTGAGATAATTGTAATCGATATTCTCCAAGCCAATCAGAACCATATAAATCTTCATCAAGTACAGCTAATCTAAATTATAAAATAATATTTAATTATAAAGATTAAATATTTTAGTATAAGGTTAACCATCTTTATTCAATGTTCAATAAAAGTAAGTGTAACATCTAGTATTCCAGGACATTTTTCCTGTTCACAGAACGGGTGACAAAATACTCAACATTCACTGGCTGGATACTATCAGCAACAGCGTTTTATGGAAGAGGACAAACCAGCTTTCAGCTAAAGAGGAAATTAGGAAAAGACGTTGGAAGTGGATCGGACATTCATTAGGGAAATCACCAAACTGCATCACAAAGCAAGCCCTAACTTGGAATGGTGAAAGGGAGAGGAAAAGAGGAAGGCCAAAGAACACATTACTCTCAGAAACAGAAGAAGATAGGAAGAGGATCAATAACAAGTGGAAAGAACAGGAATGCTCAGGACAGGGTTGGTTGGTAAATACTGGTGTGTGGTCTATGCTCCTTCACAAGATGTAACAGGCGTAATTTAGTAAGTAATTTAATGGGTGAATGCTGCACATGAGAGTATAATTTTCATTAGAGATTTTATTTCAGTTTGCACATATTTTGTAGAAAGAATTGTAATGTCTTAATACAGTTCTTGTAATGAATTCATAATCGGAAAATCTCTCAGGTTTGAAATTATTTAATAACCCATAGAAAGGTGGTATATTACAATTGAGCAAAAATTTGAAAATGTGAATCACAGAATATCACTTCAGTTGTTATTAAAAGTGTCTACTTGTTATGAAATTTGGTCATTGTTTCCGTTCTTTAGAAAGGTAGTATGTAAAACTATCTGAAAAGTCTGAAACTAGGACAATAACAACTATCTAATTCATTTCATGTTTCAAAAATCTTTTGGTTTATATCAACTACTAATAAACCAGAAAATAATGAACACACGCAAATGACAGATTGAAAGAAGAAAAACATGATTTATTGATGATAACGGTTGATGACAGTCAGTGATGAATTTGTCAAGTTATATATATTATTCTATGAATAGATGGGTTAACATTTATCAGTTATATTCGCATATACTAATCTATATATTGAGGTATAACTCATAATTAGATTATCAACTCTAGAAGAAACAAACGTTTATTTGGTCAGTATTCATCAGTCTATTTATTCGTATAAATGATTTACTACAAACAACTAATAAACCATATGTTAAGTATATTTTTTATAATCAGAAGGGCATTTGTGGAGATTTCAGTATTTTTCAAAGTTGAAATCATGAGTCAATTGAAGCTAGACCACCATCGAAAACCTGGAAGCACTGGACAGCCGTTTTGTCCCATTGTGGGACTCCTCAGAAGTGTGCATCCACGAACCCGCTCTCGCGAGATTCGAACTCAGGACCTACCAGTCTCGAGCCGAAGCCTTTAACCGAGACTGGTAGGTCCTGAGTTCGAATCTCGCGAGAGCGGGTTCGTGGATGCACACTTCTGAGGAGTCCCACAATAGGACAAAACGGCTGTCCAGTGCTTCCAGGTTTTCGATGGTGGTCTAGCTTCAATTGACTCATGATTTCAACTTTGAAAAATATTTTTTATAGCCAATTTATTCATCTTATAAATCTATATTGGAATTAATAATGAGTAGGAATTAAGACATGCTATTAATCTTCCCATTAGTTCAGAATCAGTTTAATTATGATTGTCTGTAAATAGAGTGAAAAAAGTGCCAATCCTGATTTATATCTCTTAAGGGTTAGATAATTAATTAGTAGTAGGTATATCAATGACACAGCAGAAGAATCAAAAAATTTGATTTTGATTATTACCCTTAAGAAGTCCAAACAAGTTAGCTGGAAGAAACGTTGGAATTATTTAAATTTCAATCGCTGAGACTTTTTCAGATATAATTTTCACATATAATGACTTTTCTATAGTCGGCATCCAATTTTTGTCAGGCTATTCGTTCTAACCTTGACAAATATTCGTACATAGTAGTAAAGTTCTGGAAGTTTCAACGTCAACTATATTAATAATGTTTATAGATTATAAAATTAGTGGATAGTGTTGTCATATAACTGACTGTCGAAAAAACCAATAATTAATTGTGGTTTGTGCTACTAATGTTAAGAAAATCAAAGAAAAGAAAACGAGAACACAGAATGATTGGTGTGGAAACAAAAGAACAATGAAGCTTGAAACAATCGATTGACATTTTGCAAATGAAGTATTTACAATGTATGATTCTCAGATTTTACTATAATATTCTATAATTTTGTATTCAAACACATTTGATTGTCCCCACTTGTGTTCTCGTTCACTAAAAAATTAATACTACATAGTGTACATGCTTCTTGTAAGAGGCTTACTGTTAAGAAAGATATCAGTGTGTCAGAGAATGATATAAACAGTTGTGCATAAAAAAGATTATATTTTCCTTGATGAATCTTAGATTAACTGCTCCACATCTGTGGGATGGGAAACACGGAATTAAATGCACAGTTCGGAATCACCTAAATGATTTGGACTTTGCAGATGACTTAGCCCTCCTATCCCATACACACTAAAAAATGCAGATGAAGACAACCAGTGTAGCAGCAGTCTCTGCATCAGTAGGCCTCAACATATACAGGGGAAAAAACAACATCCTCAAATACAACATAGAGAACACCGACCCAATCTAACTTGATGGCGAAACTCTGAATGAGGTGAAACTCACACATACCTGGTCAGCATAGTCGATGAACAAGGAGGATAGGATGTAGACATTAAGGCCTGGATTAGAAAAGCAGGGTTCGCATTCCTACAGTTCAAGGACAGATGGAATTTAAAACGAATCTCAATCAACACCAAAGTTAAACTCTTCAATACTGATATCAACACAGTTCTACTGTACGGAGATGAAAATTGGAGAACTACTACAACCATCATCAGATATGTTCTGGTATTAGTGATAGAAAAGATGGATGATGACTATCAGTGAAATCTAAGACGCAAGTACATCCAGTTACTGAGTTTGGAACAGAACGAGAAACACGTACTAGATTCCGCTGTTAGCCAGGTTTCATCAAAAGAAAAGAGTATTTATGCATAAAGCTTAAAGAAAACCACTTTTTTTCATCACTAACAGTTTAGCATTTATTTCAATATATTTTATGTGTGAAAACTCGGCGAGACTAAAGAACATGGACGAGTCAATCAGAAGCTTTCGCGGGTTTTCAAGGTCACGGCGCTAAGTTCGGTACCTGACGCTTACGTACGGTCAGTTTACAACGGATTTTAGAGAAAACATGATAATTAAGCGTCTACAAGATAAGTTATCATAAGATTTTGGCGAAAAATTCAATTATACATTTGGATAGAGTTGTGGCATTATAGCTGATGTCAGTTCGTGATGAAAACCCTAAGTATAATTCCTAACCTTAACCATGGACTGTAAATCATAATTTGAATTTTTCACACGGGTTTATAACCCTCATTTAGTCTTAGTCATTACGTTGACACTCTCAGATTCACTCTAGCGTCGCTCAAATGCCGTCCATAATTTATAATCTCATCTTTAACCCTAAACCGTAACCCTAAACCTTAACCCTAATCCTAAACCCTAAACCATACCAACATACCGATAACACTGAAACTATGTGGTCGAGGCTGAAAGAATTTTCGGGACTTTATTATGGTTCCAGAGGTCGACTACTATGGAGCCACAGGGATGAGTTCCTGTGCCGGATGCACTATGATTTTAGAACTTCTTAACCTATATCTGACCTTGAGAAGTTTTTGATCCATGTAAAAGTATCCCCTTTAATTTTTGAGTTTTGTATTATATATTTTTACTGTATGATAACTGTCTTCTGATTGGCTGATATTTCTCAAGGTCACTTAAGATTCGTTCAAAGGTCGTCCATGTTCTTTAGTCTCGCCGAAAACTCACTTAAACCTTGATCTTAATTTTAAAAAAATCAGATTGTAATGGGTCACTATTCACACACAATACATGATCATACTATTTTACTATACTTTTAGCCTACTATCTAAAAACAATTTAATCTTTATACAATAAAAGAAAGTGATTCATTTAAATGAAAAAAAAGAACTACAGAATTCTTAATTATAAATTTTAAAAAGAGGTATACAAAGTAACAATCATTTCCTAGAAACATCTGTATTAAATTATGTTACCTTAATGATTGACCTTAAACAAACAAACAAACAAAAGAAATAAGCGGATTTATTGAAATATAGAAATTACATTGAATTAATGACATGTAACAAAATCAATAATTTATCCCTAATGGAAATTAATTTTATGATACATTGAATATAACGATCAATTGTTGTTGTTGTTTTTGTTTAGAAAATTTTAATTCAACTAAAGTGATATTATATAAATATAGTTGAAATCACGAGTCAATTGAAGCTAGACCACCATGGAAAACCTGGAAGCACTGGATGGTTGTTTCGTCCTATTGTGGGACTCCTCAGCAATGCACATACACGATATAATTCAAAATTGTTGGGTTATGTTTTTTTTTATTTTTTAATAGTTGAGTCAATTTAAATAAAATAGAGGGGGGGGAAAGATTAGTTGAATAGTATAAGAAAACAAAAACGATCATTAGTCAATCAGTCTTGTTTTACTGTATAAATTATTTGTTGATTAATTATACAATATAGAAATGAATATCAAGTTTTATTATGATAAGTAAAAGATTTATTGAATATAGCTAATAACAAGTTATTGTATAGTGAACGAGAACACAAACAAGAACAATTAAATGTGTTTGAATACAAAATTATAGAATATGATGGTAAAATCTAATAATCATACAGTTTAAATACTTCATTTGCGAAATGTTAATCAATTGTCTCAGATTTCATTGTTCCATCGTTTCCACATCAATCGTTCCTTATTCTCGTTTTTTTTCTTTGATCTTTTTAACTTTCTACCTTCAGGCATTTCACTTGTGATTGATGATACATATTAGTTATATCCGTCGATATCAGTAGCACACACCACAATTGATGATATGGTGTTAACTCAAAAGTTCAAATGATATTGTTTGTTTAAATTTTCTCATTGATGTTTAGAAATACAACTAATCAGTCTCTTATTGACATATCTGCACTCTGTGTGAATTGCTTCCATGTTTCCTTAATTCAAAACCATTATATCCAGGGATGGTCGGAGGCTAGAGGTAGAGTATAGGAGAAGCGTTTTGTCCTAGCTGGGACTTATAAGCTGAATTTACCTGCATCCCACAGTTGAAATTCACTCTGGGACTCCAAGCCAGTACCGTCTACTTCTAACGCCATCGCTTCACCCACTTAGCTACTCAGTCCTGATAGCCAGCGGTTTGTGCAGTTCGGCGAAATTTTAATTCACTTGGTATTGTTTACTTCAATCTTTCCACTGAAAGTCTGTACTATTATTTCAACAAAAGATTTTCAATGGGAAGCTTTTTTGGAGTTATGATTAATTTCAAAGTAATTTTCAGCATGAATTGATATGATTAATTGATTTAGTGAATATTGGACGCTGCCTAACAGTTGTATAATTATAGTTTAAGAAGCTACGAATAATAACATTCAATCTGGATGTGATATATGGCAACAGTTATTTTTATTCAAATCATACGTAACTTTATGCTTGTGAATTAAGGCAAATATCGAGGCAATACTCACAGTATTCACATACACCAAGAAGATACTGATCAATTGCAGTCCTTAACATCAATAGCAAGATTCAAACAAACAATATCAAGTGAATTTGATACGAAACCTTATTTGATGGTTGTGTTTTTTTAAATCTTGAAGAGTTAGTAAATTGTCAATGAAAATTTTATTTAGACTACACTATGTTAATGCTACTTAAATAGTTTATTTTAAAGGATACAGATTGTTTTGTACACATTCTTTGGATACCTCATAGTTGATGGGTCTTTAAAAGAAGACAAGTTGCTTGATAATATTTTTAGTGCTAAAGCTATTCTATCAAGATATTATCTTGTAAGCCGGACCGAAGTAATAATAGTAGTTGTAGTATTAGTGTAGTGTGGTCTAATTAAATCCATATAAGTAGTATATGGTGATGGTCAGACATAGACTGTATTTTAGCAGAAGACCGATAAGGAAATAACTGAAATGATGAGCCATTGGTGGGTAAATGCATGAACAATGGAATTAGAGAAAATGGACTGATATATACAGAAGAGACGGTGAAGATTGAGACAATTGATTGTTATTTTACAAATTAACTGTTTGTTGTTTAGTTATCAGAATTTACTGAGATAGTCTGTAATCTTTGCTTAAATACATTCGATTGTCCCCAACCAGTGTTCTGTTCACTACAGTAGTAGTAGTCAAAATGTATGGTAACGGTTCAACGAAATCCATTTAGACCCGTAATGATAACTAAAGAAAATGTACAGAATAGGAAATTTCAAATCAAACTAATTTATTCTGAATAGTAAAGATGTTTTTTCTAAAGAAAATTTCATCATGTTTATTAACAGCTACATAGGATAATTAGTTGGTTTTTTTCAATTTGTTCCAACAACGCATGCTCTTAAGGAGTAGTGAACACTGTTAATACAAACCCTTAAAAATATAAACAGTTTACTTAGATACCCCTTGATAATAAGAGTTAAATATCTTTTATAATCTAAATTCTTTACTTCCTATAACTATCTAATAATGATTATATAAGTGAATATGTTCCTAACTAAACAACAACTAATATACAGTTTTTGAGTATCAATAATGTTTACTTTAAGAAAAATCTATACATAAATGGTTATTATAATGTATGTCACGGAAACAATAAATAAGAAAAGAACATATATGATCTTGCCTTAATGTTTTTAATTGAATATTTTTTCCATCAAATGGTTCGAAAGTTAATGCTTCATTCCATACAGGATTTAAACATTGAGGTCGTGTTGATGTACGTGGTGTTGTACTATTATGACTTGTTGGTAATAATTGACATACAACATAAGGATCAGATAAACCATTTGCATCCATTGCAATTAAATTCTATAAAAATATAAATCAAATAGAATGGATTTGATATGCATTATATTAGTTGTTATGATCTTAACAACTGAAATCAATAGAGTTACAGTGTTTTACTGGACTTCTTTAACGAATTAATAGGACGAAACGGTCATCCAGTGCTTCCATGTTTTTCATGGTGGTCTAGCTTCAATTGATTCATGATCTCAACTATATAAAATTAAAATCGTCAAATATAAATGAGATCAAAAGCTCATTTTCTCTCCAACAAGCAATTGTTGAATCATGTTCATGTAATAAATTTTGTTCTGTTAGTGTGAATACTACTTATTTATTACGTAATTGATGTGGGGGTGAGGATGATAATGATTGCTTGTTTGTTTAGTCAGACTTGTAGATGGTCTGATAGGTATTAGATGAGTTATATATTCTCCCACCGTTATTATTAGTGGTTGTTGTTAGATTGTGTCGTATTATTGTCGGTTTATAGTGTGGAGGTATAGTCAGGCTAGTCTCGTGTTCTTGATTTGAGTTGTGTTGAAGTTCTGAAGAATAAACATTAGAAGGCAATCTGGTGTAGATATTCGTCTAAAGTAAATTAACGTCTCATTCGTGTAGACGAGGAAAATCGAGCGTTATAACAGTAACATCCCCAAATTTCCCCCGTACGATGATATATTCTCAAGTGTATATTTATTTATAACTTTGATAATTTTATATGCCCTAAATTTATGACCAAATTATTCTAAACTTCAATGTCATTATAAATACCATGAACTTTTGTAAAGTATCTACTAGATGAAAAAAAAGGATAAAACTGTTTGTTTACATATCAGCAATATTAGACAGATGTATTGGAAGAAGGAATGGTAATAACTACCTAAACAGTTGAATGTATATTATTGTTGTTGAGTAAGAATTCAGCTCTTTGATACAACTATAGTTATTTCGTTTATATATGTTATAAATTGTGAGTGCATGCGTGCCCTGTTGGATATATGAAAGTGCTGATTCCCACCAACGAGAGAGCAGTGGATTTATTGATTGCCTAATGATACACAAAAGCCGTATGAGCAGTCTTGATTACTTATCAGTTCTGCTATCTGCCTAGCCCAGCCAGTTAAGTCCAGAACACCAATAATAGCCTCTGCAATATGAATCATTATTTTCATAGTTGAAATCATTAGTCAATTGAAGCTAGATCACTATGGAAAACCTGGAAGCACTGGACGGCCATCGGTTAAGTGCCCTGGCGCGAGACTGATAGGTCCTGGGCTAGAATCTCGCGAGTACGGGATCGTGGATGTGTACTGCTGAGGAATTCCATAATAGAACGAAACGGCCGTCCAGTGCTTCCACGTTTTCCATGGTGATTTAGCTTCAATTGACCCATAATTTCAACTATAAAAATACTGAAATCTCCACAAAACCCCTTCTGATTGAATCATTATTCTCAAACATACTGGGTTTATATACCAAACAAACTGACCACATCGTAACATAAAATAGTAAACAAAATTTTATACAAGATTCAACCAAATATAGTTGTAAATATGGGAGATAGTAATTGATAGACTGAGGATAACTCAAGGATGGTAATAGTAATAATCTATTAGTCAAAATAAGGTTTATAATAAGAGGAACACGAATACGAATGGTTTAGTGACTTAAAAATTATACAGTAGGAAATATACATATCACATTGGTCCATAAATAGTCCTCAAAATTACCATTCATAATCCTCTACGGGATACAATAATTTAATAGTTAATAACACCAAAATTACAATCAACGACACTTTATCCTGTCTATTGACATTATTTGTCCATATTTGTAAGGCTTTTCTGATCAGATTTTATTTATTGAATAATGAACCTATCCAATTTACTTAAAATTTGTTATATTTTCTAGTTTTAATTAATGTAATAGTATCGCTGATCTATTCTGCAATGTCGTATGGTCTTCTGAGATCTTGAAACTATATTTTAAGGATTGTTTATGTTTAATGGTCGTTAAATTCAGTGGTATTTGTGTCTTCACTACCGATACATCATTAAAATTTTAAAATATTTAATTTCGTAGATACTGTTTTGCTGTTTCTTACTAAGTTTATTTGGTTTTTATAATCAACAAACCTTTGTTCCTTTTCCCTAATGAGATAAGATACAAATTCATTGCCAGTTTCCTAATCATAAACAGTCATAAGAACAAAGATTCTAGTAGAGTAGCATCAATTCATTTTATTTCGTTAGTTCTCGTCAGCTACTTACAATCTGGGATATTTAAAAATCATAATTACACAGTGGGTTTAAATATCTTACATGAAAGGTTTTAGTTGGAAGTTATATTGAAGACACACTAGTATAGTATAGCAAGGGTGTAAATAAATTTAATAGACTAAATATTGTGAATTTATATCTCAGAAGGGATTTATGTGGATATTTCAGTATTTTCATAGTTGAAATCATGAGTCAATTGAAGCTAGATCACCATGGAAAACCTGGAATCACCGGACGGCAATCATATATATCTTATGTAAAAGAAAATTTTACAACATTGATTGTGACAACAGTCCAAACGGCCAGAAACAAGTGACTACGTGATGAGTAAACGCTGATAGAAATGAAATGAGTAAAGCTCAGTTAATAAAATATGATTACTAATCTGGAAGATAGTCGAAATAAAACTCAATGATGAGATAAATACAAGAAAAAGTTTAAAAAACGTTAAAGATGCAAGGAAGGAATATTTGTCACCAAGGCAAGGAATGATTAATAACCATCACATTTTGGATACATAAATCAGGTTTTTGACACCTGATAGCAACGTCTTCAGAAAACGTCAGGAGGCTGGAGTTTGTCTGCCTACTAATAACCTTGGAAGATATTTGGTAATTACACTGTTTATAGTCTTTATTTCTTTTGTTCTGATGCTTTTTGGAACATGCTCAAAAAATCTAAGATTTTTAATACCACAGTTTGTAAACAACTGACGAGAACCAATGAAATAAAATGAATTCATATTTCACTTTAATTAAAAAAACAAGGAAGAAGTAGTCTTGTTCATTGTAATGAAATTGAAGTTAAGGAATAATAGCTTAATCTATAAAGATATCCACAATGATGTTATGTCATTTCAATTCATTGAATTCCTAATAAGATATCATTTCATGTTTTACTGAATCCATCTACTGTAAAACTATTTTTTTTAAATGTTTTTCAAACTATATAAAACTTCACAACATTACATAATTCATAAAATAGAAATGAAATTTAATCTATCAAAACAACTTACTTTAGCTTTGTGAATAGCTACATGAAGTTGTTTATTCAATGTATCATGATATAATGTAAAGTAGAGCACACCAAATGGAGCTAATAATGATTGAATAATAAAGATAAAAAGAATGTTATTAGTTTTAGATGGAATAAATGTTACTCAGATGTTTTTGATGGAGTTTTGTTCTCTGAGCTGAGTGGTTTCATCGTCTTTCTGAACGACATCATCAGCACAAACTTCGGGTAGAAGTTACTCAAAATTATTTTAATAATAGAAGAATTTCACTATATTTGTGTATAGCTTATTCATTACACTTTAAAAAAATACTTTTTTATGCTTCTGGTTGCAATAATAGTTGTGAAGAATGATTTAGAAGATAAAAGGTATTTATGATTGAAAAGTAACATCCTAGACTGTTGGAATCCCAGGCGGAGTGTCAGTTTGCTCAAGGTTACGGATATGCCTTATTAATAAGTGTCGAATATCAGAAAAGATACTTCCATGGTTTCCTACAGACTACTTCCAACTGACTAAAATCTGAACACAGCGCATATAATGTCAAATCCTTTGATCTGGTAGACAGATTACAGGTTAACAGATAGAATTCGACCAACACTAAAGGATTAGACAAACATGGTATTAGTCAAGACCTAATGGACAATAAATAATATTTATCATTCTGTCATTTTTTGGTTATCAGTTATGCATAGCTTAAACTTCAGATTTTTACCAGAAGTTTGTGCTGATGATGTCGTTCAGAATAACAATGAAAACTTCACGACCAAACCACCCAGCTCAGAGAACGAAACTGCATCAAAATCATCTACCTGAGCTACAAATATTCGCCATCACATCAGTGGCTAGCAGTGGAATTCAGGATATGCATCCTATCTTATTCAGGCTTGTCAGTTGAATGTACCTGGCTCTTAGTGTTGATATTCACATTGGAAACCAAACTCGATACTTTTTTCTTTAAAGCATCAAAGCGTTGCTCACTGAACTGCTAGATCCAGATAACCACTGCTTGTGCAACGTGAATCAGTTTAGTGATTAAGTGTTTTTATTTACCTGTTAATTTCGAAAATGCAATGAGAAGACGAAATTTATCAAAGGGACTAATTGTTTTAAATTTACTTTTTAATATTAAGGACTTCAATTCATCAATCACTTTATGTAAAACTTGTGAATTTTTGGCAATATCTTGAAAATCTGTTGAGATGCACACATCTCGAAAAGAGACTGACCAACTTCAGTTTTTAATGTCAATGTGAAGATACAAACACTCATAAATCAATTATTTACTCGTCAATTTATACATCCGATGAGAAGCTTTGAAATAAAGTCAAGGATACGTTTTTAATACAACTTGACCTTTAATTTTAGTTTTGTTCAGTATCTATTATTATTTTACATTATTATTACACTTACATTATGTGTATATAGATTTCAATCTTCATTCAAATTCTGTCATTGCTGAGGGAGTAAAGCAATTATTGGAGACAAACATGAAAAGGATGAATAGCAACTGGAAAGAACTGAAAATGATTGCCCAGGACAGGGTTGGATGGATAGTTTTAGTTGGCGGCCTATGCTCCTCCAAAAGGGGTAACATACGTAAGTCAGAAATATATATATATATATATATATATATATATCATCGTTGAAGACGTAGGCTAAGTAGAAGGCTTTAGATATTACATAAAACATATATACAACTTCAAGATAGACGTGTTCAAAGTTTAAGGTCTAGTCAATAGTATTATTACAATCAGAAATCATCGAAGACATGTGCATGAAATGTTCCAAATTTTGATAGAAAGAACGTCTAAACGCTTTTTTTTCAAACATCAACCATCACTTTTCACACTCACTTTATTACATAATTGATTTAAGGAGCTTAAAAAATACATCATCCAATAAACGTAAATTTATTATAAATATCCGTTGGAAGTCACTAGACGCTTGTTGAATCTAAGTTTTTTCATTTACCTCGAACTTAGTTTAGCACCACAAGTCGATGAAACTTGTTGGAATACATCTTAGTTGAATATTACCTCCATAAATGGTTTTACATGAATTGAGACGTTTTTTCAAAATATCTAGAAAGAGTATGATTGTAAAATTACCTTCTTCACTTGAAGATACAGTTGGACGTCGTTCCACAGACGTGGGACTCGATGATGATGAAAGAAGATTAGATGGTTCTTTTTCACCTGTTAAACTTACAACCTTCTGTGTAGAATTGATATTATTAAATGAAGAAGCTAAGGCAGAGGCTGTCGAATGATTAACTGTTTTATTAGGTACAAATGACGGATGAAACGTTTGTGCTGAAACAGGCGACTGTGGTCTCCATAATGAACTAGTATTTAGTGAATCGGGTGAAAGGCATGAGGCCGGTGAGATATGAATTATATCTTGACTATTCGCGGTTACAGGCACATTTATATATGTTGGTGAGTTTGTTTTAGGTACATCAACAGTACTTTGATCCTTTGGAACATATGAAGAATGCTCTGGAGATTTCGAAAATCCCTTAGATATTCCACGTGTTTTTGTACTTGACGTAGCTATGGTAAGAAAAAAACATCATTTTCATTTAGGAATACTCAGTATTTCACAATAAAATTTGTTTGAGTACATTTGAATTAAGGACAAAATTTAGTGACAGGATATACTGAACATATGTGAATTTTTATATGATCGAATTTACTTTTGTCACATTAAGGTGGACTGAATAACTTACGAACTAAATTGTAAGCAACTATGAAACTTACTGCCTTCATAAAACCAATATAAATAAATATAGAGAATAAAACCACCGGAATAAATGAATCTGTATAACAAAATAGAATTCTACAAATTTTCTAACAACTGGATGATTCATATGAATATTGATTTTTGTCGGTCGACGGACAACTTTTTAAACTCTATGCCCAAAACTCATTAGCTTTGTACTCGAAACGAATTAATCTGGCAGTACACTATCAACACTATTCATCACTATTCAAATCTTATAACTAAAATAAATCATATAAAAGCTAGTTTTAGTCAGTTTGTAATTGCAATCGATTAGTGATTGAGTAGTAACTAATTTCATGTGTCCATTTCTCTTGTTACTGCTAGAAAGCTACAAATAACGTTGTAGGTAGCCTAAGTGATATAAATTATGTTGAGACTTTAGGAGGCAGCTAGAGTTAGCCGACAGGAAACTCAAGGACCAGGTTTCGTGTTAGTGATCAATACCATAATCCTACGAAAGATTAATTACAAACCGAAGAGCTCAATGATAACATCTTATACTCTGAAGCTGGGTGACGCAAGTTGGAATGTTACAGGAAACACTAGTTTCCTCAAGTCTACAGGTACACCTTATTGACAAGTCCTGACCGGTATAAAACCTATGCCTAGGCTTCTTGTCGACTTTCTGTAACCATTGAATAAGTCAGTTCATACAAATTTATTATTTCATCCCTATATAAAATATTCCAGTTTGTTCATGTGACTTATCAAAGAATACAAAATATCAATTACTACTTCCGGTTGTAAAGATATCTTTTTATTATTATTACTATTATTATTATTATTATCAATTAATCTAAGGAAATATATTTGTGAAGTTGTTAATTGAATATCTCTTTATGAAATTTGTTTTTTAAACGTATTGATTTTTGAAAAGAAAAAGAAAAAAGAAAAGAGTAGTCCCACAATAGAACGAAACGGCAGTCCAGTGCTTCCAGGTTTTCCTTGGTGGTTTAGCTTCAGTTGACTGATAATTTCAACCATGAAAATATTGAAACCTCCACAAAAACCCCTTCTGAGAAAAGAAAATGTTATATAATGACAGTGAAGTTTATACAATATTCTTTGTTGTCAGTGTTGTGTCTTTTGATACATGTTAAATATTATTTGATCTATTCACCAATCAGAATACGATTTATGCAATGTTAGCACTGTGCCAAATCAATGATATATCGACCGATACGAACAGCCTAGCGTCCTTAATGATCTTTTTTTCCTTCCTAAACCTGTCTATTAAGTTCAAGACACCAATCTCAGCCTCCGCGATATAAATCATTTATTTGAAACATACTAGGTTTATATACAAACTCAACGGAACATATCAAACCATAAAAAAATAACATATGTACAAGATCTAGCCAAAAGTGGCTGTAATTGCGGGAGACTGTAATTATTAAACTGCGTATAACTTAAGAATGGTAAATCGTATAATAATGGTCTATAGATCAAAATGAAGTTTATAATAAGAGAAATATGAATATACATAGCTTAGTTACTCAATAGTTATACAATAACTAATTCTTAGGAGTTACCTGTAGTTTAATCTTCACTAGGATACCACAGTCAGTAACAAAAAATTTACAATTACTTTCATTTTATCATTTTGTTATATACAGTAGTGTAAACATTCTTCCAGTGTAAGAAAAACCTTATTCTAAATCCAGATTTTTTGTATGTTGATTTCATTTAGAGTTTAAATCATTAAGTGATCTTAGTTAGGCCACCATTGAAAACTTGGAAGCACTGGACGGTTGTTTAATCCAGAGTACTAGACTCACTAGAAGTGAATAATCACGAACTTAGATCCAGGAATCTCTGAATCACAGTGTATTTGTTCAGGTACAATACACATGATGATAATGATTAGAATAGCTCAGATTATCTAGTTATTTTGTTTATACATGTTATTGCTTTCTTTAAAAGGATAACCTCAAAGACATTTACCTAATTTATATTTCTACATTATCGTTTACAGTCAATGGACTGGTTGTCGTCACCTTTATTTTGCTTTGTTATGAGACACAAAGTCATTCAATGTTACGATAAAAACTTCTGTTTTCCTTCATTTTTGACTAAGTTCTCATTTATCAGAAACACTTAAAACTAATAATAAGAAAATACAATATGAAATATACCATCTTATCATGGACTAATATCATATTTAAAAAACTGAAAGAGATGAGACTATAATTTATGGATGACCTTTGGGCAACGCCAGACTGATCTTGAGAGTGTCCACCTAATAATAAGGACCGAATGAGGGTTATAAACCCGTGTGAGGAATTAGAATTATGATTAACAGTTAATGATTGAGGTTAGGAATTCGACTTCAGGTTTTCATAACGAACTGACGTCAGCTGGAATGTTAAAACTTTATTTCTCCAAATGGGTGAGTGAATTTCGCTTCAAAATCTGAGACTTGTTACCTTATACGTGATTGGTTTGTCCATAAATTATAGTTTCTCCTTGAAAGATACTTACTGGTCCCATCAAACCATTATATGAAATCATAGGGATATAAGATCTAATGTTCGAATAAGTAGATTATGAAATACAATAAAAGATATTTTATTGTTATAAGATGATTAAATCCAGCTAGAATATTTCTAAACTATTACCCAGGATTAAATAAGTGACAACAGGTACATATCAGGTAGATTCAACCGGTAGGTAATCGATGTAACCTGATAACCAGTGAATTTAAATCAGTTTTTAATAAAATCTAGATGCATAACTCTACTAGAATTCTCTTAAGAGTATACAGAATACTACCTCTTCTTAGATGTGAATTAAGGCTCTGAATATAATACTATCTAACTAATCTCGATTTCTATTTGTTAAATTTTATAAAAATGATGGAAATCTGTTTATAACAATCAGAGGTATGGGTTCGATTAATCTGGTTTTTATAATCTTAGTTCCTGTAATTATTCTTATAACAATGAGAGTTCACTGATGACCTAATAACTTGGACATGAATATTCGGCATTGAACGCGTTTTAAAATAAAAGCCTATCATACAACTCCTCGGTCTTATAGGGTTGTTTTTACGAAAAACTGAACGAAAAATATTTGCTTCTCTACTGAATGCAATTGACAAACCCGACAGAGCATGATACCGTAAAGGATGACATTTTGAGATGATGCTTATCTGTGTTACGTTCAAACTTATTTATTACCACTCGACTAAATAACTCTATGTGTGATTTCTATGACATATTCAAATATTTATTGTTGACCGAATAAAGTACATTCTCTTTCACTAAAAGGTTTAGAAACCGATAACAATATATATTCCTGATGATGTTATAACAACACTCCTACGATTAATTTCGATAATAGTTAGTTTTTGTTAAGTCCTTTTGTTAACTTATTTAACAGACAGAGTTATTCGGATAGTAACAATCAGCCTATTTCTTTGTATTGTCATGATCACTATCATGTCTGTATAAACGTGTATGCTTGATTACATGTAACAGCCTACGCACATATCTCTTTCTACTTTAAATGCTAATTGCTCAAATATTACCAGATAAATCATTCTCCTTTCTCATGTATACATGTGCTCGAATCTTATTCATTAACTTTGCCCTGCCTAGCTGCGCTTTGATTCGATTTGACTATGAATTCGCCTCTGTAATCTCTCGCATACACATATTAGCCTGCCTTCTCCAAATTTGCTTGATGTGTTTGTAACTTTGCTATCTGTACTATTCGCTAATAAACTGTAGTCGCCGCTGCTAATTGCCTACTAAATTCAAACACCGTTGGGAATTTATATAATAACGGTTATCAAGGTGATTGATTAACGAAGCTAAGCCACAGTTTCAACATATTTCTTTTTAAGATGGATGAAAACATTAGTACTCATTAGATTATATTAATTCAAAAGCTTAGCAATCAGTGCATGATATAATTTATTTCATTTACTTATATGTTATATTTATCCTGAGACTAATAACTTCATTTCATGAGGGTCCCAGAGTGAACATCAACTCTGAGATGCAGGTACATCCAGCTGACGAGTCCCAAATAGGATGTAACACACGTCAAACTAGATTCCACTGCTAGCCACTATCCATCATTGCTTATAATGCTTGTGTTTTAAGGCTATATCGAGGCAATACGCTCATTATGCACATATATCAATAAGAAACTGATCAATTGCAGTCCTAAACATTAAAGGGAAGATTCAAGTAAACAATACCAAGTGAATATTTATGAATAGTTTATTCAGATAAAACTCGTTAAATGAAATATTATATGATAGACACTATAACTTACCTTCATTTTGTAGTGTATCTTTACTTGTACTTGGTACAGGTGAGCTATCAGCTTCTGATCCTTCAGGTTTAGAAGGTCGTCCTTAAAGATAAACCATATAATGTTAAAAAAATAAATTACATTTAATTTCATTTTAAATAAGAAATAAATTCTCTTCAATTTAAAATTTCATAAACAAACTTATCCATGAAGTTTATTTTATTTCAGATCTTGGACAGTCAAATTATCATAGTAAGGATAGCATGAAATGTTTTCTTGTAAAAATTGGTTTGCTTACCTTTTTCTTTTGATAATTAAACAGTGCAAACAGTTTGTCATCGTTCAATTTGCTTAATAACTTTCTAAAGTTATAGATCAGCTATTCATTATGATAGCTCTCATGATAGAAAAATAAATTTTAACCGGGTAACTGACTAATATCGAGGTCTTGGTGAAGTTTTTTTTCTCTGAGCTGAATGGTATGGTTGTGTGGCTTTTATGGTTCTCCTTAATGTGATGGTATTAAAAAGCAAAAATTACATTCTTTTACTCATTGTAATTTTTTTTGAACATTACTTCCCTATGTATAAATCGTTATAATCATTAAACAGTGTAGTATTTGAGTTTGTTTACCAGTTTGGCCACAAGACAAGCACTCACATTGAATCCTGAAGGCCAAAGAACACATTATGCCGAGAAATGGAGACAGACATGAGAAAAATGAACAAAAATTGGATAGAACTAGAAAGGAAGGCTCAGGACAGAGTGGGTTGTAGAATGTTGGCCGGCGGACTAGGCTGCACTGAGAGTAACAGTCGTAAGTACTAGTGTGATATTTTATTCTGTATAACATTAATTTGTTTGAGTGTGGTGTTTATTCAAAATACGATATTTTTGTATTAAATTAATATGAACTATGCACAGCATGACACACTACATGTGATCTGTCATAACTCTGGGTATTTGTCATATATGTGATTTCATCCTAATTAATAATCAAAATGAGTGTATAATCAATCAAACGAGTGCATCTTTGACTACGGTTGTCATTGTGGTTTGGAGTTAATAAATCTTTACTTGTACCAGCCTTTGTGTTCTTATTTACACATCGTGGGAATTGCAATGATTCTTCGCTTTAAAAATATAAGTGATAAGCGACCAGTTATAACACTTCTAAACGATATCATCGGCACAAACTTTGACTCGATGAAAGCTCCATGATCAAACTATCCAGATTAGAGAAATCACGTCACCAAAATCATCCACCTGAGCTAAAAATCTTCCCTATAATTGGGGTTTTAAAATGTTAACTTGAACAACATAGGTTTGAATTACACAATGAACAGGAATCCTCTCCGGATTTCAGCTACTCTTTGCTAACGAAAACCAATCAACTTAAAACCCAGGTCAAGTACAGTTTCTTACCTAGTGCCTTTAACCACCTAAAATTCAAAAGCTAAATTATTTGCAAATAATATTCACACATTACTACTTAGCTTACAGAATATAATGGTAATTAGATTATAGAAATTTTTCAAGGAACCTCAGTATTGTCCCTATACATGATTAGTGTGATGTTGTACAAATGCAAATTCTCATAAAATTTAGCAGTACGATTCATAATGTTTACCTTAGTCAAAGTTATGTGTAAAACTTAGAAATCTTGAAATCTAGAATGTTTACATGTAGCCCATTTTACCTTGTTACTGACATCAAAAATGATAGGAAATGATTTTTGAATCTTCATTGGTATGGGCCTCAGAGACATACAACCCATGAACTCACAAAATCGACTGTTTAAAAATCCTAATCAAGGCGGCGAAAACAGACTGCACCACACAGACCGGGAAAATGAAAAAAATCTGATGACTTTTCTTAAAAAATGATTACCCGCGTAACTTGATCAAGAAATATCAACCCAACTCAAAGGTAAAAATGAAATCAAGAATAGAAACCAACAAACCGATCTTACTACCGTATATCAAGGAAATATCAGAAATTGCGACAAGATTATTGAAGCCGTTTGGAATAGGTGTAGTGCACAAACCAGCAATATCACTTGAATGAATTTCATGCAAACCAAAGGAAGAAATGAAAAAAGATCTACAGAATCAACTGTTCTAATTGCGAAGAGCACCATAAAAAACAAAGTGGACGCCCACTTCATATTTCCCTGTATGAACATCAATTAGCGGTCAAATTTCATGATATATCTTCGATTATATCGGTGCGTGTAGACAACTTTGTACTCAGTTTCAAGTGAGAAAATGTTGAAATCTTGGACAGGCAGAATATTAAAAGCACCAGAGAATTTTTAGAAGCTTAGCATTCAGGTCAATAAGCAATCAACAAGCACATCGAAATTGATCTAATCTATCAACCAATCAGAAAAATTGTGAACAAATATATGACCAAAATTATCAAGCTTTCAACTACGAAACGTGCGTCCTGGATTCCACTGCTAGCCATTATTCATCTTTCCTTAAAATACTATCGTATACAATAAGAAAAATTGTATTATTAAAGAAGACAGATAAAACTTTAATAATTTATTGACTATATTGTACACTGGTTAAAGAATATCTTATATGTGACATTACTAACAATAACAAGAAAAAGAAGATCTGGGATTTATCTACAAGCATCGGTGTTAAGCTATCACATATAAGTTCTTCACGGGTTAAAATATTAATTTTCTGTATTATATTTACTTCATAGTGTATATTTTATTGCATAACAATATAAACTTACGATTTGGTTTTAATTGTATCCATTGTTCTGAATCATTATCAGTATGTTCAATATGACTTTCATAATTTGCATTCATATGTATTGGTTTTACAAGATCTGTTATATCATTAAATATTTGACAACCAGTTTTAGCTGGAGTTGATGATGGACTAGATGGACAACTTGTCATACGATTACTACGTGGAAGACTTTTATAAAACCATGCACCAGAACGTTTCCAAATCTATTTAAAAGAAAAAACAAACTACATTTTCATTTGATCAAATAATGAATAATGAATAAAAATTGGATAGAACTAGAAAGAAAGGTCCAGAATAGAGTGAGTTGGAGAATGCTGGTTGGCGGCCTATGTTCCATTGGGAGTAACAGGCATAAGTAAGTAAGTAAGTAAATAATGAGTAAATAATAATGATAATTAATAATTAAAGCTGATATGACAAACAGTTTTCGTAAAACTGCTATTTGCTGCTTAGTGCTACATGTTTATATGACAACATAAGCAAAAACATTATGTGAACAAGGAATGACTATGTACTGTTATTGTAGTGATCAATTTATTAAACGACTTTATGATTGTCTAATGTCATTAGTATTTAATATATAATTCTCAACATAGTTTAACTCTCACTAGAATATCGGAAATTTTTATCGCGGGTTGTTACTGAGGCGAAATCCGTTATTATTTTAGTAGAGATTAACTCACTTGGAATATAGTTCGCGTTATGAACTGAAACAATTTGGTTTTAGTGGACTAGATAATCATTGAGAAGTACCACGTTTCCTGACTTGAAGTTCCAGAGTCTGATTCAGTATACAGTTGTTAATGAATACTGTCAAAGAGTCTCAAACTAATTTTGAATGGTTTTTAATAGTTTATCAACTATAGTCAGTTCATGATCAGAATTAACTTTAAGTTTAACAAATCACCACAAATCCCTTATCTAAAACAGATATTTCATTGAAGAAATGGCATATTTTCTGTGAAAAATATTTTTGTCGGATCTAAATCAATCTGAAAGGCACTACTGAATTTTAAACTATAGTTTTACACGTTTATATAGACTCATTTTACGATACAGTCTACACAAAATTCCTTATTTTAATGGTCATTTATTGATTCATCTTCATTATTCTACTACAATGAATTGAATCGTTTCACTATTATGTCTTTAATTGGTTTAATGGTAATGTTCAATTTTCCAATTGGTTTACCAGTCGATTAAGTAGTTCCTCAGTAGTTTATGTTGTCATGAGATTATCATGAGATTATGAGTCATCTGAAGCTAGATCACCAAGGAAAACTTGGGAACACACCGATTCGTCCCATTGTTGAACTTCTCGGCAGTGCGCATCCACGATCCCGCACTCGCGAGATTCGAACCCAGGACCTACCAGTCTCGCACCAGAGCACTTAACCGATAGACCACTGAGCCGGCATCCAACGGTGTTAATATCTAACTTCAACCAATCCGCGAAGTTTGAGAAACCGCTCACTAATTGTCTTCAGTGAGCTATAATCTCCCAACAGACCTGGTTGAACTCCACTGGTCACGGCTTCCCACTAGAACTTCAGGATATATATATATATATATATATCTTGAAGTCAGTCACTGGTGAGAATATGGTTATCATCAGAAGGGGTTTTGTGGAGGTTTCAGTATTTTCATAGTTGAAATCATGAGTCAATTGAAGCTAGACCACCATGAGAGACTTGGAAGCACTGAAAGGCTTTTTCGGTCTATTGTGGAACTCCTCAGCAGTGCGCCTCCACGACCCCGCTTTGCTATATTCGAACCAGTCTCGCTCCACAACACTTGATTAATTGTATAAGAAATGTATAATATTATCAACTTTCACTGATCAGTGTATAGACAATGACTTCGATAATACGGTAAAGTATATATTTCCCTCATTTATATTACCTATTTTTGTATAATTACAAACATTTAAAAGTTAATAGATGTTAGACACAATATTCAATACAGTTTCTGTATAAACACTTAAATCAATAATAAATCAAAATTTACTTCTCTTGCTTCATAACATATTTTACAAACAAATGAATGATTATCTCCTTGACGTGAATTGGCTTTAACTTTAACTTTTTCAAATAACTGTTGACTATGTAATGCAGCTGAATTCAATGTACCCATTAAACTACTACGACGATTAAGGAATCTTGATTTATTTGTATTAGATGTTACTGTTTTTAAATTATTTGAATTAGTTAAAGTTTGATTTTGATTTTGTCGAGTTTGATCCATTGTAAAATATGTTTGATGTTTTGATGTATTCAATGAATTACCACTTCCGTATGTATTTGACATCCATTGAAAATTGAGCAATGAATTACGTTTTGTGATTGGTTGTCGATGTAATGGTGGAATAATTAATTCTACACAACATGTTGTACATACATAACGACCACATTCTACACAAATTATTGGTAAATTACTTAAATGACCAAATTCTTTATGACATAATGCACATTCTTCATTTTTTCTAGAATCAGCTGTTTGTTTAAGACGATCAAGTTTCTGAAGCATTGCTCTGAAAATAAAAACAAACAAACAAGATAAGATGAATGTGGAATGATACATGAGAGATTTTATCAGAAAATAAAACAGATGAAAATGAAAATTTCTCCTACGTCTGCAGATAGGAATATTGTTGGATACGTATAGATGAACTAGTTCTTCTAATCAAACTTGTAATGTGACTATAGAGATTCATGAATGAATATTGCTGTGCATTTTATTTTTTTATTAGGTAGTTGTTAATATAGGTCACTTCTTCGAATAAATAAATAATCGAATTAAAATCGACATAAATTGGAAGGATGAAAACAGTTCTGAGTGTATAAAGTTTGACGTAATCTATCCCTTTTCAGTGTTCAACAAGTTCGTGACATTCAGCATTTTCGTACACATTTCCGTCCACTTGATGAGTGGGTATTTCAGTTAAGAGTGTAAATTGAACTAAAGATTTCGGTTCAAGCATTTAAAGTTATCCAAATCTGTCTGCTTCAAATACGTCATTGAATTACATTCCAAAGTCCCGTATGAAAACAAGTAGTTTATAAGTTGGGACTTAAAATGAACTTTCCAGTAAAAATTACACTTATTTGGCAGCGTTAACCCCCTAAATAAATGGAAAAATGCCCGAAAATGGTTGAAACTAAGTACATATTGAACGTTCAGATTGATGGATGACCTTACACTGTGAGTTCGGAATGAACTTACACTGGTTTAAACGTCATGTCACTTCGGTCAAGATAATTATGTATGAGACACACTTGTGTTCATTTGTTTGTATGTTATTGAATGTCAAAAAAATGTTAAATTTCTAACGTCAAAGAGTAGAATTGAACTTGTGCGTGTTAACGGTGTGAACATTTAGGAATTTGAATATTGTTATTTCGATAAATGAACAAAGATGGATGGATAGTCAGATCTTCTATTTTATTCAGCTCAATGAGGTTGAGAAATATATGAAAAGCTTCAGCCAACCGCCTTATTTATGGTTGAAAAACCCTTTAGATTTATTTTAAGGTTCAATATCGATTTGATAATTGTTAAAAATAGCATGACCTGCTGTTCCGGATTCGATTTGTAAATTTTTGGATTCTACAGGATTATTAAATCTTTTAGTGTAGTTTACTACTATCATAAACAATCCATTCAATACTCAGTTTATTTAAAAGTATCACAATGAACTAAGGTACTGATACTTGACAAGTCTTTTTGTATTGTTACGTAACAAGTAAATTAACATAAAAATACTTACTCAACTCTAGCCTTTTCATTCTCAGCTAATAATTCATTACGTCTTAGAACACGTAAAATCTGTTCTTCTTCATCTGTTGTTAATGGCTGAGCTCGACGGCGTTGTGCTGATTGAGCTCTAGAAGACCAACCTGTTCCGAGTCTATAAGATTTATAGAAATATATATTATTTACATAATTATATTAGTTATCACACGTATAGTTGGAAGATTGTGTTTACAATCAGGTAACTATCATTATAAAAAATATTAACAACTTAGAACTAGTGAATAACTATCTCATTATCATTTTGAATTAAACACCCTTTCATACTGATGATAATATAAAATTTGTGGTTTAGGATGAAGCTGTCATAACTCAGTTACTATGCCAAAATTTAAAAACCCCAAAATTCAGAAATGTGTTTACGTAATTTGAATGATTCTTAATTACGATTAAGTATTTACCTAATATTTCATGTCGTAAATTTTTTCCGTTTTTTTATTTTAAAAAATTATATCATTCACTTGTTATCGTTTTTTTGAATCTTCCCATTGATGTTTAGGATTGAAATTGATCAGTCTCTTATTGACATATGTGCATACTGTGTGTATTGCCTCGATATTGCCTTAATTCGCAAGGATTATAAGCATAGATGGACAGTGACTAGCAGTGTAATCCAGTTTGACGCACTTTTCGTCCTATTTGGGACTCGTCAGCTGGATGTACCTGCATCCCAGAGTTGATATTCACTCTGGAACTCGAACCCAGTGTCTTTCACTTCAAACGTCATCGTTTTATCCACTTAGCTACTGAGTCCTGATAGCCACCTGCTTGTGCATTTGGATGAAGTTTAAATTCACTTGATATTGTTTGTTTGAATCTTCCCATTGATTTTTATGGCTATAATTGATCAGTCTCTTATTGGCATATGTGCATAATGTGCATATTGCCTCGATATAACCTCAATTCACAAGCATGCAGGTACATCCAGCTGACGAATCCCAAATAAAGCGAAACGCGCATCAAAGTGGATTCCACTGCTAGCCACTGTCCATCTTTGCTTATAAATTATATCATTAACAAAATAGTTGAATAAAGTCCAAGTTTTCAATAACCATTTGAGTAGTATTGCTCTGATTGATTTGAATTAATTAGATAATATTTGTAACCCTAAGATATTCAAAAATCGAATCATTCTAATCAAGATGAACAATCTGTAGACAGAAAATTTTGAAAAATAATTAAAAAAAATTAATTTTATTATTTTTTAAAGGCTTTTTTGCAGAAGTTAAAATGAATTGTATGATCAATTATATTATATTTGAAATAATAATGCCCACAATCGAAATTTCAATGATTCTAACATTTCGTCCTTTACACTTATCTGGACTTCATCAGTATAACTGATTATTAAATGGATACTAGATCATAAATGTTGAAATTGTGAACTAAAACGAATAATAACGAATCTATCATTCAGAATAATAACAGTAGAATTTTCATATATATATATATAAATTTATATGTGATTGAATTGAGGAACCCATTGTATGAATAAAACAAACGATATAAAGATGAAAATATCAGTACGTAGGTAGAAAACAATACTGTAAACCAAAAAAAACCTTTATTTTGAAATTGCTTAACTTGTAAGAATTTAAGAATATTTGATATATAAATTTTACAGTAGTCGTAAAAACCAAGGTGGAAAATATTCTCAATTCCGACATTTTGTAAGGATAAAACTTAAATCAAATAGGGTTTCCTGTCTATTACTTCCAACCACCGCCTTAAATTTTAATATAACGCATGAGATGTTAACTCATCTAGACTAATGGCTACATTGCTACTTGATCGACAGAATCCGATTCACATCAAGAAAGACCTGATAGACATGAGATTGATTATCACCCAGTGACCAATTAATGGTAAATGAATCGTTTTAAGTTATTCTTCATAAAACTTGTAAAAGTGAAGTTCATTATATGGTTTTCATCAATTATTATAGCTGAATTCCGAAACTCAAATAATACAAGTATTCTATTGATCATGTTATAATTATGACCAAAGTTTGTTTATCACTTCTATTTTCTAGTTATTGAATTTGTGGATTTATGAAGAAGATTTCCTATTTAAGTGAATGTTTCTGATGTTGCTTAATTCTTTAAGCTAGATGAAATAATTGCTAGGCTTACATCGTTTTTCTGACTAGCATTATCAGCTCTTACTTCATGAAAAAGTTACGCTCAGTTAAGTGAAAAAAATCGAAGACAAACATTTTAAATCCTCAATCACAAGTGAAATATTTTGAATGGTACGAGTATCAAGATATCATAACGATTAGTGGAAGCAGTATAGTCAGTCGAATAGTATCCATAGATATGTATTTAATGTTACTAAATATACATTATCATGTGAGTACGATAAGTCGACTGATTCTGAAGAAATGCGTACTGAAAAATAACTAGCTTAAACTTATAATTCTTATCTAAACATTAAAAAAAAAACATGAAATTCAGTAAAGGGATGTATCTTCAAGCTATGATATCGTATAAACCTCTGTAATGTCAAGTATTGGTAACATAAGGACTGATAAACAATACATAAAAATGGAGATGTAGTAAAAAGATTATAATGTTAGATCATATATTGTAAATGATAATGATAAAAGATAGTGTGTGTGCAAATAAAAAGGCTTGTTAAATTATTAGATTAAAAATGGGTTACTATGCGATTGAAGTAAGATAACTAGGATATTTTGGCCACAATGATCAAAGGTAATAAAGGAATTAAATTAAATGAAGTAATATTATAAATGTCTATGAATAAAATCATGGGGATATGGAAAATGTTTAAAGATAGAACTGAATTCTTTCCTCTCACTTTTCTAGAACAACATTAGAATAGGTTCTTGTAACCGAGATGAAAGAAAGTACTGGCTACGGTCTGTGCACCTTATTTCACAAGAGCATACGAACTGTAAGATTCACATAGAGGCAATCAGACGAAAGAACTTGCTCCTTACAGGTACAAAAATTAAATTTAAACTAGTGTACGTTAATCACATCGCTGATACATAGAACCTTCTTCTGAGTGCTGTCAGCAGCTGATTTCGAAGTATATCAAAAGTTTGATCATCTTTAACTCCGAAATCTGTATAATGATATTTCTTTAGAACCGAATTGCTGGATTTTCTATTCTGACTTTCTTTTATGTTGTTCTATACGAAGCGACTTGGATAGCCGTTTGCCGTCATTGATTTCCTAAAGAAATCATGTTCCTCCTCAAAGCATTCGATGATACAGATCCTACATATTCTACATTATAATGTGTATAAGATTCCTTTTTCCGCTTAAAAGAATCCATCTTCAGAAATTGGTTAGTTAGACGTTCTATGTTTGCTTCATGTGAATGAAACCTTTGAAGAATCCATGAATTTCTCTTATCAGAAGCACCTCAAAAAATCAGATTTCAAGAATTACCTCATTTTCTAATGTAAAATTTAGGGAAGAATGGTAGATATCGATGGAGAACAAACTGTCAATCAAGTCAATATTCTCATCATAAACGATGAAATTGTCGTTCATACATCTTTTGTTTAGGTTAAATCAATTAATGACTGAATTAAGTAGACCGTTTTAAAGCTTAGACATGAAATAGTCTTCTAGAATTGAGCTAGATAGAGATCTTGCCAGATCTCCTTCTTTTGTCAGTATATTTCATTGCTGAAACTGAACTGAACATTAATAGTATAACATAACTGTCATTTCAAGTGGTTAGTCAATGAGCGGATATCTATGTTGTTGGAATCAATATAAGTTTGTTGGAAAATGATCTCTCTGTTAAGTTTCATGTTTTCAAGTTGAAATTGAATAAACTGACACACCAGCTAAAAGTAACACCATTGATTAATCGAGTTGGATAGATTTTCTACGGTTTGTTCTAGTCAAGGAAACTAAACCTTCGAATTTCTCCACTTCATCTATTTTAATATGCGATCAGATATTCAGACATACAACATCTATATTCCTTCAATCCAACCACTTAGATTGAGTTAAAAATCGTTAATTATACGGGGAAAATTCCTTTTCATTTCACTAGAATACTCCAATAAAAAGGTTTCCCATGGGGAAAAGTAAATTGTTATACGACAACTAAGTATGTAAAATTTGGAGCCATTCATAAAATAATCAGTTTGTTGACATACTGAATCAATTAGATTAGGGACATAGAAAAACTTTCTGGGCATTACAAAGTCATATATATACGTACATATATAAAGAAAGAATAGTGATGGATTTTAATGTTAAATATTGTTAATTTGAATTAAATTTCTGTTTAGATATATCAAAATGGTATATTCAAGAAAATCCATAATTCAACTCTTTAGTAATTATCAATTTGGGGTTGCAGAGATCAAGTTTTTGATTGAGATCATGAAGAGTCCCAGAGTAGGACAATACGGTCGTCGAATACTTCCAGGTTTTCAATGCTGGTCTAACATCAATCTATTCATGGTCTCAATCTTTATTAATTAACGATAGGTTTTCCTTCTCCACAGTAAACTAGCATGTAGTATACTTGCATGGAATCACAAATTCGAATTATTTCTAATTATAATTTTATATTTTCGAGAAAAAAAAGTGGGACAAAACGTTTTTTGGTAGTTCCAGTTTAGATGCATTGAACTATAATACAACTGTATATCAGATAATATATGTTAGTTTATTCTACCATTGTGCAGTTCAATAAAAAATTTATGAAATCAGAAAATCCAACTATATAACACCGTTAAATGCCGGCTTAGTGATCTAGAGGTTAAGAGTTGACGTCCTGAGTTCGAATCCCACGAGCAGGATCGTGGATTCACACTGCTAGAGAGTCTCATACTAGGACGAAACGATCATCCAATGATTCTAGGTTTTCATCGGTGGTCTAACATCAATCGAAAACTATACAATCTCTACAATCCCACACTGGTATTTTAAAGTATATGAACATGAGTTAGTAGTAATTGTTAGTATTTTATATAATTTTATGCTTCAAAGAGTTCAAGAATAACTGCCGTTACTTTCGAAATCTATATAATAATTTCATGATAATATCAATGTTTAATTATTAAACATTAAAGACAAACCAAAAATCTAAAAAAATGTTTAA